GCCCTTTCAAAGTAATGAGGGCTCGGGGTGAGCATCTACATCATTAGACCTCCTTTGCCAGTACCAAAATACAATAATAGGGTTTTTCCCCTTTTTTCTGGAAACAAAACTGAAATCTTTTTACAAGGATTATTACATTTTGGTACTGGTAAAGGAGGTGTAATGATGTAGATGCTCACCCCGAGCCCTCATTACTTTGATAGTGCATTGTCTTTGAGCTGTGTAATGCCTTTTGGCGTCCTCTGGTCGAGCACCAACTGGGTCGAGGCTTAAAAGAAAGCCGTCCCTTGGTGTGGACCAAACAGTTTCAAGGACAATGCATCATATATTATCATAGTATGTTTTTTTTGTTTGCATTTTGACTGCAGGTATTGTGGTTAATGCAGTAACATGAATCCTTGTAAAAAGGTTTCAGTTTTGTTGCCAGAAAAAAGGGGAAAACCCCTATTGCTTGTAAACTTCGTATCTTTTCCCTTCGAAAACTCTACGTGCACCTCGTGCCGCATTGAGTTTGGCATTCCAAAGCGAGGAAATACAATCGCTCACACGGTAACGCATTTATGCAACATTTGCGTGCAATGTAAACCCAAGTGTTGACTTGCAGGACGCCACTTGCGACTTGCAATATGTAAATAGTTCACCACGCTTGTGTAACAGTCCACCATCCGAGCCCTACCCAAAAGCAGCCATGTCAAAGCAAAACTTACTGTATTAATTTGCATGTTAAGAAGGTTACAACATGAATACTACCACCGTATTGGCAATCAAGTTAACACTCAAGGATCAAGAGCGAACCTTCCTCCAATGACCTTTGCCACACATTCCCGTGCCATTCATTTGGGCCCATTGCCAGGAGCGCACACAACACACCACACATAACACACTTCTCAAGCAATCCCTCATTCATCAACAGCGGGGCCCCTTATTCACACACAGCGCTCGTTAACCACAAGTGCGTTCAATTCTAATTCATCTGTAATCAAAATTCAACTTCCACGTGATCACAATTGACTTCAAGAGGGCTTATTGCCCGTGCACGTTAAGCGGCGGCAGCGGCAGTGCGATGCGCAGTCTCACCTGCGGGCCAACACGACACCAACTTAAACGCCATGAGTTTGCGTTGCCACCCACCCCCCTCCCGACACTGCTTCGACAACGACACAAAAAAACCAACAGCAACACAGCAAACGACGAGCGCTCGTGAATAAATCGTTGCGGAGTTGTTTCGCCCTCTCCGCCTCGCTCTCCACTTCGCCGTGCTCCTCCTCTCTCGCTCCCTCCTCCCCCGTCCGTCCTCTCCGCTGGGTCGCTCTCGCGTGCTGTTGACGACGAGGAGGAGGAGCAGCAGCAGGAGGAGGGGAATTACCGCACGCCACCGCCGTGTTTTTAGAACGGATTTGAAGCCTCCAACGGCCGCCACCTTGGTCAAGTGCACAAGGCGAGGTCGATGGAAGTCACCCAAACCAAGCCGGGGTGGGTGGGGTGGTGTGCCCAGTGCCGGACTATCCTAACTCGCAGGTTGGCAGCAGTAGCTGCTACACGTGTAGCTACATATGTAGTAGTAGCTACGGGCCCCGCACTTTCAAGGGCTCCGCGCTAAATGCTCTCAAGCTACCGATTCCGGTTCAGTGATTCTGCACGTGCTCTATTTACTATAGTACTAAACCGCCTTCAACTTTTATAAACGACTGGGTGTTTAAGGCTAGCGATTTGTCGTATCATCTGGTTGTATAGCAAATGAAAAAAATATACAATTACTTTACGATGCAAGTAAAAAAATGTGTTTTAATATTTGTGTGTTTTTTTTATTTAGGGCCCCGCACTAGCTTAATCCGGCACCGAGTATGTCTCCGCGTTACACAACGGGTGGGGTGTGGGGGTGTGGGGGTGACCCTCTCCGGTTCGCACGGCAACACGTGCGGGCGGCGCGCGCTTGACGCCGCCGTGCTCCCTACGGAACATGGCCGCCCGTGTGAAGGGGCGCTTGACGTCGCCGTGCTCCCTACGGAACATGGCCGCCCGTGTGAAGGAACGCTTGACGCCGCCGTGCTCCCTACGGAACATGGCCGCCCGTGTGAAGGAACGCTTGACGCCGCCGTGCTCCCTACGGAACATGGCCGCCCGTGTGAAGGGGCGCGCGAGTTTTGTGTGACGGTGGGCGCGGGGGTTGGTGGCTGTCAATCAAAGTCTCACGGCGCACGCGATTGGTCATGTCAGAACCACGCCTTCACGCCCATCCCCACCCCCCCAACGACAGCTCTCACGGTGATTGGTCACTTGGCGTAGTGGGGTTATTGGTAGTCTGGAGCTGTATAAGCCATAGCTGGCAACCCCGAACCAGTCCCTCTACCCAATTACAGAGAAATTCAGATCTTATTGGTCACCCCGTGCCCTTAAAAATCGCAACATTTCATCCTGCAAAGATCCATCATTAGGGAGAAATACAAACAAATAGACAAAAAATGTTGTTGCTCGTATTGAAACGGCTGTACGCCGTATGGACCTGAAAACAAAATTATCTGTGCCAAGAAGAATATGGGTAAACCGTATGCGTCGATAGGGATGTTGAGACAGTTGCGAAATTACAATGGATATCCATTAACAGTTGGGTTATTCATCGGGTAATAAACGTACATTTGATTAAAGTCAAACCTGTCGACCCCTTATCAGTGCCTACCTTATTACAGACCAGTTCAGACCTTATTGGTCACCATGTGCCCTTATAAAATCTCAATGTTTATCCCTACAAAGTCCCATCACAAGGGAGAAACACAAAGACAAAAATTATGTTACTAAAAAGTTTTTATGTCATAACTTTGAAAATTGGTATCAATTATGCCACTTCCCATGCTACTGTCTGTGATCTTGCATGCTAATTCTGCTACTTGATTGATATGTGAATGCACACACTCATGTTGTAAATGTACACGACTTTATTTTTATTTGGCCGTATGATTTTACTTGTGCCCGTATTGAATTGACTGTACGCCATATGGACCTAAAAACTGAATTTCCATGTACAAGAATACGGGGTAAACCGTATGGGTTGACAGCTATGATAATGACCTATCGTTGATCTGATTGTTTTCAAACAAAAAATATATACATCTACTACGTTCTCGTTTTTTTTCATGTAACCGCGCAATCAAAAAAATAGAAAATGTCACGTGATAGCAGCAAAGATCTCAAATCTGATGGATCCTAGCAAGAAGTTAACCAGTAGGACCTAAACAAGTAAACTCACAAAGTTTTACTGCTCTTATCCAGCCTGTCCTCTTCATGTGTTGATGATATAAGGGGCCGTCCATAAATGACGTCACGCACCTAGGGGGGGGGTCAGATATTTCTGACGATGTGTGACGAGGGGGGGGTTGAGAAATGTGACGTCACATCAAAATGCACAACTTTAAATAAATATAGACAACACGTTCTACTTAATTAAATAGACTTTTTTAAATAAATGTTTTCTCCTACAACATCAGAGTGCAGAGCCACATTAAATACGCACTACAATGACAATAGTTTAAAGCGATTTGTAGCATGTTTTATTTTTGTGTGGGGGGGGGGGGGGGGCACATAGCTTTGTGACGTCATATTTGAGATGGGGGGGGTGTCTGACTTTTTGTGACGCCGTGTGACGTAGAGGGGGGGGGGTCAAAAATGGTCCTAAATCGCGTGACGTCATTTATGGACGGCCCCCATAAGCTGCCCGACCACCACCACCTTGCCACCCGAGTTGCAGCAGCCGACGGGAGGCTCGCAGCAAGCACACGGCAGCTTACACGCAAATGCCTCCTTACTATTTACGTCGATTCGTTTACACGGGAACGCGTGGAAAACAAGTACAGTATTGCGTTTCCTGGGATTGTATAATTTTTATTTGAAAAAAAAAAGCTAAAAGTTCGCCCAGAAGTGTTCGCATTTCAAAGCGTCGAGTTTTCGAGTGATGAGTCGCCCCTTGCTTGTTTGCAACTCTCAGCCAGTGATGTAAATTCCACGTTCATATGGCGAGGCCTCTTCATACTTCTAGAAGTGCATTGATCACGGATGATATTTGACGGGGACGAGTAATTTCCATTGGGGAAACCCAATGCTGACTTCCCACATCCCACAGCACTTGCGTGTCGAGCTGTTGTTTAATGTGTAAAAGGAAGACGCTTCTGTGAACGCACCCACAGAAGGCCACGTGGCCGATGGCACGTGTAAACAACATACTGTACCATATGTTTTTTCTATGTGGAGAGACATGTGGGAAGGAGGACAAATCGACCGCTTAGTTATTTTGGGTCTGGAATGCTATTGCCAATAAACTGCAACTTGAATCACTACCTATGAGATCTTCACTCAAAACTGCTCTAGAGGAGTTGTACACCCCTAGCTGCCACTGCTATTCAGTGGCCTAAAATAAAATAAAATGTTTCGCTCCGGATGACGCTGCAAAGTATTATCTGTATTTTGATTGAGCGTGCTGATCTTAAAGGTGCATTGAAAAATTTGATACTCCGACTGATGCTTCTGTTGTTGTGGAGTAACTCATGCAGCCAGCTATGGATCTAGGGTTTGGTGTTACATGTTATTTATTTCGTTTATTGTAAAAAAAAATTCGGTCACAGTCCCTATGATCACTGTTACATTGCAACTATGGCTTTATTTTGGTGATTTCTAAAAGTTTTTTGGTTTGGCCATGTTTGTTTGTTGTAGTACGGAGTTAGACTGGTGGCCTTAATCTAAGTTGTCTTGTGGTTGTTGTTGTTTGACTTGCATCTCACTGGGATTTTTGCACACAGCGTTGGTGTACGGTGCTTTTTCAGCATTATTTTGATGTTTTTTCATGGATTTTCTGTTTGCACAGTCACTTTAAGATGTTTTCTTGTTCATGTTTTGTTTTTTGTTTGTTGCGGTTGCACCCGATTCAAGAGCCGAATGGCTCACAGGGCTATACCAAAATAAATGAAACAAAAAACTGCTACAGGAGTTAAGGGTTTTTTTTAACAGGCAGTCGCGTGGACACCTCTCGCGGGGTCCTCGATCAGCTGTGCCGTTTGCGCGGGAAACCTGGATTTCGTTGCGTACATTCGGACCAAAGCTGGTCTCACTGCGCACACCTTCAGCTATTGCGAGTCCGCACCTGGGACAATTAAGCGTCTACATCTGTATCGAGTCAGGTGGAACGATTAAGAGCCACCTGGAACAAAAGTAAGAGTTACTTTAGCAGTTGTCGCCTCTCACGTTACACTGCTGGGCAACGGCCTCCCCGAGTTTCTTCTCTTCACTTCCATAGTTCGTGGCCTCCGAACTCTGGTTTCGCCTCTCCCGCCGACCTTCCTTTGCCTTCACTCGGTCACCACTTCGTAGTTAATATCCGTCTCGCGCGTCATCTCACGGACGCACTACGCGCTGCTCGTCATTCGAACGTTAGCAGTACGCTCTTCATTCCAATCGTGGAGCCTGTTCTGTTCCCAGCTCTGTGTTTGTCACCCTAGGAGCCGCCTTTGTTCGCAGAGGCTACTCGGGTCGCGATGTCCGGCGACCTGACCGTGCAAGACCGCGGGGACGCCTCCACGCAGAGCCCCGGGCGAGAGCCGAGCGACGCTGTGGAGCTGAGAGAGGAGCTGCAGCTGTACGTCGAACGGGTGCGTGCGGGGAGGCCGGCAGGGGCATTGGGGGTTGGGAAGAGAATTCTGGCAGAAGGAAGGAAGTGATGTTGTGGCTGCCATTGGCTGTGTTTTAAGTAAAGTCACGTATGTATAATGATTTATTTTATTTTGTACCTACGCGACTTTACCAAAAGAAGGCAAGAGCATGGATTACTGCAGTCACGAAAGCTTCAAATCAGGATTGTGTTTGACGTCTTGGGCACCATGAGATGCATTTCAAGTTCGCTTCAACTTTATTAGAACAAATTAAGCGGATTCAGCTCACATATACAGCAGACGCCTTGGTTGCGTGTCCCGCGCTGTTCACAGCTTCGTAAAGTTATATTAAAATGAACCTGAAAAAAATTATCAGGAGCCATCTGTTGACACTGCAGTGGAGGTGTTAAAGTGAACAAGGGTGATGTGGAAGTGACATTCTCAGAGCGCTCCTGCCCGTGCCTTGAAGTGTTTTAATGTGGCCAATGAAACGTTTGCCCCCATTCCTGTAACAGGGAATTTCCATGTTGACACCGAGTTGTGATGTGACATTAACAAATGATAACCAAAACATTCGCCTGCTTTTTAAAGTACACTTTTTTCTGTTTAAACGGAACCACGAAGGTCAGTGTGGAAAATGAAATAAACCTTAGGAAGGTCAGAGTAGCATCTCAAAACAGAGTAAATTCCCCTTTAAAAAGAGTAATTTTGTCCCAATATACTGTACTCAACTGGATATAAAGTTAAAGTATGTATTACATTATTGCCAACATGTAACCATTATCAGTTTAACACGTAGGCTTTCGCGACCAATATTATTCATAATAAAGGTTTTTGGGTTAGATCGCGTTTATTTATAAATGTGTCATAACCCTCCACCACCCGACACGGCCAATCAGCAAAGAAAAGTGTCACGTTGACAAAAGACAAATAATTCACTACTTCAGCCCACCGGTGTGTTGAAGAGTTAATCCACATTTACAGTTTGAGTACGACGTTTCGCTGGTAAATACTTCCAGCATCATCGGGCAATTCGCCAGAATGGTAAAGCCCTCGCTTGCTCCCGGTTTTATATAGAGCAGAAGAGTGACGTCATCACTTAACTCATCAGGTGCAGTGATTAGAGGCGGAGGGGGGGGTAATGTAATTATATAATCGATTAGTAATCAGTCATTGGTTATGATTAGTAATGAGTTGTAGATTAGTAATTCTTTAAATCAAAATGTAATGTGTATTATTTAATAATACGCTTCCAGGCCGCACTGAGCCGGTAGCTGTCAGAGCGATTAAAGTTATTCTTGTTCCTCTCAATTTCAATGGATTCTCTGATTAGTCTTTGCCAGTAATAATTAGTTTTACACACCACTGCAACATTTTCAAAATCAATTGAGTGTCCTTGTTGACAAGCATGTTCTGCCACTGCCGACAGTTGTGTTTGAGATAATTTAATATTTCTCTGATGTTCTTTTAGTCTTACGCTGATGTTACGTCCCGTCTGCCCAATGTAGCAGCTGCCACATGAACAATTAATCCGATATACACCTTCTGTTGATAGTTTAGGTAATGTGTCTTTAGTGCAAGATACTAGTTTTTGAATTTTGTGTACTGTACCAAATCTTACTGTAATGTTTTGCTTTTGCAAAACGCGGGCTAATTTGTCAGTTACTCCTGAGATATATGGAATTTTTATTGTTTTAACAATCTGGTCGCTTTCAGTAGTATTGCTTTGCGATCGTGATTTGGCATTCAGTGCTCTGTTAATTTGAGCATTATTGTAGCCATTCTGTCGTAGTGCGTCTTTAACGTGTTTAATCTCTCTCACTAGACTCTCACCATCTGACACTGTTTTCGCCCGATGCACGAGCGTCTTAATAAGAGAGGATTTTTGAGCTGGATGATGATGTGATTCTGCATTCATATAGGCATCAGTGTGCGTTTGCTTTCTGTAAACGCTGTGTGTTATTTTACCGTTTAGGCCATGTCCAAGCAAAATATCTAGGAATGGGAGTGTATTATTCACCTCCATTTCCATGGTGAACTGGATGGCCGGGTTTTGTGCATTGAGATGATTTAGAAAATCATTAAGTGTATCTTTACCATGTGCTGCTCCTTCCTTTTGTTTAAAGATAAAAATTCCATATATCTCAGGAGTAACTGACAAATTAGCCCGCGTTTTGCAAAAGCAAAACATTACAGTAAGATTTGGTACAGTACACAAAATTCAAAAACTAGTATCTTGCACTAAAGACGCATTACCTAAACTATCAACAGAAGGTGTATATCGGATTAATTGTTCATGTGGCAGCTGCTACATTGGGCAGACGGGACGTAACATCAGCGTAAGACTAAAAGAACATCAGAGAAATATTAAATTATCTCAAACACAACTGTCGGCAGTGGCAGAACATGCTTGTCAACAAGGACACTCAATTGATTTTGACAATGTTGCAGTGGTGTGTAAAACTAATTATTACTGGCAAAGACTAATCAGAGAATCCATTGAAATTGAGAGGAACAAGAATAACTTTAATCGCTCTGACAGCTACCGGCTCAGTGCGGCCTGGAAGCGTATTATTAAATAATACACATTACATTTTGATTTAAAGAATTACTAATCTACAACTCATTACTAATCATAACCAATGACTGATTACTAATCGATTATATAATTACATTACCCCCCCCTCCGCCTCTAATCACTGCACCTGATGAGTTAAGTGATGACGTCACTCTTCTGCTCTATATAAAACCGGGAGCAAGCGAGGGCTTTACCATTCTGGCGAATTGCCCGATGATGCTGGAAGTATTTACCAGCGAAACGTCGTACTCAAACTGTAAATGTGGATTAACTCTTCAACACACCGGTGGGCTGAAGTAGTGAATTATTTGTCTTTTGTCAACGTGACACTTTTCTTTGCTGATTGGCCGTGTCGGGTGGTGGAGGGTTACGACACATTTATAAATAAACGCGATCTAACCCAAAAACCTTTATTATGAATGTAACCATTATGGTTATTTGAGGAATATGGATATCGAGAACATATGCAGGTTAATTACATGACTCTAGCTATTAATAAGATTAAGTGTGCCTCGGCAGGCATACATCTCTCAAAGAATGACGACAGTGGCAGCCAAGGCAGATAGTGTCTCTGATGATATGGTGCGATGAAATCAGTTCGTGTCAAAGTGCTAGGTGCACTTTTATATTTCAGGAATGTGGGAGATTGCAGCGGCTTGGGGAAGGCTTCATCCAGTCGTGGTTTAGACGTGGCTAATGACGATTATGAACAAGAGCATGTGAGATTTATTTCATGAAGTTATTGTGGGACACAATTGTAATTTACCCCAAGTCTGACTGCCACCCACTTTCTCTCCATCCTGACCCTGACCACCACCTCTCCCTCCCCTAAGGCCACGGAGAAGCTCGTGGAGCTCTTGTCCCTGACGGAAGCTGCCGCTCAAGGGGTGCAGAGCCTCTCGGAGCAGTGCTCACAGAATGCTCGCTTTATTCGCGCTTGGGTTCTGTTCATCCGCAGCGGCCGCGGCATCCAGGGGCCCACGGTGCCCAACCCCATGGTGTTGGAAGAGGAGATGGAAGAGGAGGGGGACCCAGCACAATAAATACAAGAACACCCATGTGCTTTACACATTTGGTTTTCGTGCCATTCTTATCGCACCACAAAAGCTGTCATGAAGGTGTTTTATTTCACATAGTCTGCAGTAGTTTTGCAGTTGCGCGCAATGTTGCTTTGTGTTTTCCAATTTTAATTATTTGTAAGCAAATTTGGACCAGTGATGCTGGCACTCATGGCCATGTATTGTCACAGGATATGTAATATCCACTGTGAAGCAGATGGTGTGTATTTACACCCGCAGTATTAATTTAGGCGGCCATGGGGCTCAGACTGTGAACATCTGCAACAAGCGGTAAAACACGCTATTGCTAGGCCATGTCTTTTTCAATTGCTTTGGAGTATTATGGGTGAAAGTACCGGTATATATATAAACAGAATTGCGTTCTTTACATATAAAATGTATTCATCCATCGGACTTGGATTTTCAAACCCATATCCAGCAGCGTTTGTTTACGTTTTGACATCCTTGGTCTTGGCAATAGGCTTGTTAAACATGCTGATGTGTTTCGGGCAGCAAGAAATGTCTTCCCCATATTCAGCAGCGCTTAAAGCAGGGTCACAATTAGCCTGCCTTTACTCATTTACCCATGTTCTTTGTTCAGATGCAAATTAAGTCGTTACACATTGCAGAAGCTACATGCCATAAAGAATACTCATTCCAAATAGGTTATAGAGATTGTGCATGAATGTGAGGACATGCGTGATGTAAATAACATAGGTGCTCGCTATCCGCACTTGCCCCAACAGTCTGTTAAGGCTATATGGAGAATTTTTGATGTAAATAATCTTTAAATTAAGAGCTCCGATTGGTTTATACCAACCACCAAGCACATGCAGCATTGAACGTTTGTATTTAGAGGAGTTTAGTAAACATGTTAAGGTAACGTTTGTATTGAGAGATTGGTAACTGGAAAGGTGGCTTGTGGTAGTTTGGGAAGAACTGGAGTCTGGGAAACACTGACTTAAATGATGTCCAGTTATTTGTAATCGCAGCAACAAATATAAATGAGTGCAGTTTGCTATGTTCATATGCTATTGGAATGCCTTCATTTTCTCATAGTCTGTCTTAATAGTCCGGAATTCCCTTCCGTCAGCTACCTGTGGCGTTGACTCCCTGTGCCTGTTAAGTCAGGGCTCAAGGCTTTTCTATTCATCTCCACCTAAAAGTGCCCACTTAATTTCTCTCTCTAAATAAATATGCCAACTTTCTTTCTGCACAGCGTCTTCTTGATATTTGTGGTCACGTTTAAATGCTTGCTGTATATGAATACTTTTCCAATTGAAGGTGAGCGTTTTAAAATGTTTTCAAATATGTACGCAGTAATTATGCTGTTGGTCCTAACATTTGTACACGGGGAAGTTGAATTAAAAGGTCAAGATTCAGTGGAGTCGTTGACCAATCTTTGGTTCCAAGCACATTTAAAACCTTAATTTAGAGTTATATATACAGTGACGAGTTATTCACACTTATTTAACGGTTCCTGGCGATGTTGAAAAATGCATTTGTAAGTACCGTTTTTGGCATTGTTAATTAAACACAATCAGCTTGACGTTTGTGTGGTATTTATGGAGTTGTAATTCTTTACACGTTCGTAATTTCACGACAGTCTATTATCCAGATGAGCAATTACTTAATCGTCTGCTCTCTCGCCCTTCCTCGTCGTTAATTGCTTTGTTTCAATACCCTAACAGCAAAGGCAACGAGTCTCCAGTGATCCAATCGGCGTCTGTGTCGCTCTCGATAATCGATAGATCAATCCCACGCGGGGACTAAGCGGGTTAAAGTGGTTAGTATGGTTGTGCATTGCTTTCGAATGATTCTGAAACGCGGTAGTTTTAGTTCTTATTTCTCTGTTGTGTTTGGTTTGATTCTTATCGGGGAATTTTTTTTTCCCCCTCTCTAATTTCTATTTCGTTCATTGTTCGACTTTGGATTTTTTTACCTTTTTGCTTTTGTCATTTTGGTGACACAGGCCGGTCACTCTTGCAAACGATTCGTTGTTTTGTTGTTGTTGAGTTCGCGCCAATTAGTTTAAAACAAAAAAATAAATACTTAAACCTGAGACCGCATTGTGAGCTGGTAACATGACGTCATTTTTACCACGACGCCCCGAGCATCACGGCCATTTAACTCAGCCCGGTACATGACGTCACTCCGCGCGGGATATTCGCCAGGAAGTGACGTCATACCCCCCCTCCTCTTATGACTACGCCCTCGCTCGTTGGCTCGGTGCTTGGGCTGCGGCAGCACGTGACCGCGTCTCGACCAGTCGGCGCGCGCTCGGGACCGGGCAGCAGCAGCAGCCGCAGCAGCGTCGGCGAGTGGCAGTGGAGGTGCGGGGCGGCCGAGCAGGCGACATGAACCTGCGCGGGCTCTTCCAGGACTTCAACCCCAGGTGCCTACGGCCCTCCTCCCGCATTCCTTCCACGCCAGAGGACGTCGTAGTCGTCGTCGTCATCATCCCCACCGGCCTACCTCGTCGTTGTTGCCGGGCCCCGGTTGTGTGTTGAGAGTGGATGAGCGGTGGCGCAGTGGTTGGCGCAATGCGATACGGGAAGTGGATTTTATTCCTGGGCACGGTCAACATCAATCGCGAAGATCTTAATCCCCTTATGGACCTTTCCCTTAAGTTCGCCCAGTCTCACGTGAGTGAGTTCACATGGCGCGGTGTGTAAATATCAGCACCGGGGGAGATAAAGGCGACCGGGCGTGATGCTGGTCACATCGTGCGACGTGAAGGCCTTAATGGGTGCTCTCTAACAGCAAGAGCGCTTGGACAGGACACGGTAGTTGGAAGGAGTGACGGCCGACGATCAGGAATGATAACGCAGTAGGAGCGAAGGTCAGCACGCGCATCCCAGAGACTTGCATATATAGGAGGAGAGATAGAGCGGATGAAATAAGCTCGCGTGCAGGTGCTGATTGTTACAAAGCAGCAGGTTGTAATATTACCACAGCCTTGTGAGGCCTACATCCAACCAGTGTTTGGCTTATGACGACGAACAGTCGTGGTATTTGTGTTTATGAAGGGGGTGGGTGTGTGATGGGGGTTGTGTTTGTGTGATGGTGGCGGCGATGTTGACGGTCGTGATTATCTTGAGGCGGAGTGTAAAGGATCTTAATTTGGTTTAGCTGGTTGGGTACAGAGTGTGCAGTAGTGCCATAGTTTAAATAATTGGCGCTACTAACATGAGGAATATCATGACAAATACCACACTTACAGTACCAAATCAATAATACCACCGGCACCATCACCCTTAATGTAAATTTGGCCACTGCTGGCAATCACTGATACCATCATCACTTAATACTCTCACCATGAACATCACTTAAATCAGAATGATTACTAATATCGTCACCAATGCTCACCATTATATGAATAATACCATCACGATGACCATTTTCCATATCACCACCATGACTGTCATTCTTAAATGCCACTACTATAATCGGCACAATGATTAAGACCCATGCTACCAATATGAGCATTACGCATACCATCACCATAAACATCATAATTACTATACTCTTACGACTAACGTCCTATTTCCTCCTTTACGAATACAGTACTGTACGACGATATCGTCACTTCGTGTTTGGTCAAATTTGCAGTATCTAGAGAGCCTGCACCACTTCATTAGAACACAACAGTGGCTGTTGGTACCTTAAATTAAGTGGGGTGGTCCTTGGTATAGGAACGTGACATTTCCAGTAACTGAAAAAGACTCCTAAAGACAAGTTACACATTCTAAAAATAAAAATCAGGACTTTGACTGAACAATGATAAAGAGGAACACTCGATTTCGATTGGTTTAATCTCTGTTAAAGAATATTCAAAATTCGTTATGACTTAACACTACCTATCCAAGTGAAACCATGGTAAGCCAACGTTTCGGATACTGACCCTTCTTCAGAGCAGTTTAAATCGTATTGAAAGTGATTGAGCAAAGTGTGTCTCTGTCAACACATCGCACGTTCTCGGTAACGGGCTAAGGACAGGACATACTGGAACTGCCTTTCCCCTATCGACTCTGTCCCTTTTCAAGTCCAAGCTCAGTACCATCCTGTTTTCCCTCTACCTACGACGTACTGCGTATTTATTTCTACACATTACAATACAGCATCTTGAGATACGGTTGCATTTTGAATTTAACTCCAAATTGTATGTGTAAAGTGAATCATGTGGCGTGATGGCAGCACCTCACGACATCACCTGGGTGTAGGTAAATTTATATGGTTATGATGTAAGTCTTTAATTACGTTATTGTATCTTAGATCTATGTTTGTGCTCACTTAAAATACATTGTTTGCTTGTATTCTCTTTATTTGACTTCTGTAGCCATCTTGAGCAGGTCAATATTATAAAAGTGCCCTGTTAAAAGAAACTCTCCGACTCGTAATTAGTCAATACAGCAAAGTGAGGCCAAGTCATTTGGGTGGGGCAGCCACTCCAGGCCTCGCAGTCCACCCCACCATGGCAGATATTCTCATAAGGGGTGGACAATATGGCGAGAATGACGCAGAGGAGTAGTGTGGTTGGCATAGGCGCTAGTGCAAGGAATTAAATTGGGCCCCCTGTCTAATTTCCCCCCTATTTGTATCCCAGTGCTTTTGCCCGGGTACAGTTGCACCGCCTGCACATTCACGAACTGTGCCAGTGGCGTGATACGACGTGGGTTTATCGATGCAGCTCGACGTGACAATCCCGGTGCTTTTGTGCTGTTGTATTGCTCATGAGTGGTTTGTGTCGTGTGCCCTGCGCAGCAAGTTCCTGGTGTACTGCTGCCTGCTGCTCTTCTCCGTGCTCCTCGCTTTGCGGCTCGATAACGTCATCGAGTGGAGCTACTGGGCCGTGTTTATCCCGTTGTGGCTGTGGAAGCTGCTCGTGCTTGCCGGGGCCACCAGCGGCCTGGTCGTATGGGTTCGCAACCCCCAGTACAGGTGAGACAAGGGTGTTAGTGAGGGTATGTAATCACGTGTGAGGAGCGGTGGCAGAGTGGTTGGCGCTCTGTACTACAAACCCAAAGACCCGAGTTCGATTTCCGCTTATGGCCAAAACTTGTGGTGCTTTTATGAACCGGTCTTGGGTCTCCCGAAGGTCGACTTAGCCTCAAATGAGTACCTGGGGTGATGTGTAGTGAGACAAAGGTTGCTGGGCATAATGCTGGCCACCTACCACCTCGTGTGCCATGCCAGCCTTCATAGGTGCTCCACAACAGCACTTGCCCAAAATCTGAAGGTTTTACAGGGATATTTGTCTTTGTAATGCACGTTACAGGTGAAAAGGTATCAGTATGGATATTCAACTCGCAGTACAGATGATTTGTTGTTAGTATGGGTACGGGGGTTGATTTTACTGTGCCAGTGTGGTTGCTCCTTCATCTGCCAAGCACAAAATGACGTACACAAGCATCTCTAAAATGCACGTCACATTGAAGTAAGGTGTTCATCAGTTTTTATTCAAAAGACGTTCCATTTTATGTAGACGTTTCAGCTGATTTTACATACGAGGGCAGCATCTTCATTCTATTGATCTAACCTGTTTCTGTTGTCCCCCCTATCATCATGCCCCCCTGTTTCGCTTTACACCCCCCCACCCACACCATTCTCATGTCCCTCCTCTCCCATCATGGTTCCCATATCGCATCGCGTTCCCCCACTCTCGCCGTGTCCCAGGACGGAGGGCGAGGCATTTGTGGAGTTCAAGGCGATGCTGATCACCGTAGGGCTACACCTGCTGCTGCTCATGTTCCAGGTGCTCGTGTGTGACCGCATTGAGTCACACGGCTACCTCTGGCTGCTTGTCTTCATGCCGCTCTTCTTCATCTCGCCTGTCTCCGTCGCCGCGTGCATCTGGGGCTTCCGCCATGACCGCTCGCTCGAGGTAATTGGCGGCGGTGGTGGTGGTGGTGATTGCACTCGTGTGGCTCAATGAAACCCGTGTGTTGGGCTGTGGGGTGGAGACTCGGCTGCTCTATTCTGCCTTGTCTTAGTGATTAAATAATTCCTTGAGTTTCCAGTCCCGGTGCTTTGTTACTTAAAGTGCACCCGTGACCATCCGTGTTGTCCTTTGTCAGCCAAATATAGTGTAGATGTACAGCCCTTTATGAATCCACTGCTGGATGAGGGCCTTCCCATGGTTTTGTGGGTCATGAGGGTTAGTTGATCATACTTCACCACACTGCTCAACACTTCGTGGAGGGGGAGGGAATCAGATGCAGGATCATACAAGGACAGGACAGCACTGTTTTGCTGCATAGAATTTTCAGGTTTCTTTGGTCACAAGCCAGATATATCTTGCTAATGACCATCATTGTGCTTAAATGAGACATAAAAACAAATGATATCAACCGTGGGAGTGGGCCAACGGGGAAGGCTTGACCATGGCCCAAAATGCGCAAGTTCTCCCTTTACCACAGCTGGAGACGTTGTGCTCAGTCAACATCCTGCAGTTCATCTTCATCGCCCTGCGACTGGACAGCATCATATCGTGGCCCTGGATGGTGAGTTGTTTTGCAAGCGCGTAGCCCCTGGCAGCCGTTAACATGTTTTTTTTTTTTACCTCTCGACACAACACACACCCTAACATGAATCCTACTTCAGACTTTTAACCATATAACTCATAACTCACGTCATAATGTGTTTTGGCTATTTCCAGTCGTAATTCTAATATATATCGGAATCCATATCAACCGTGGTCTGTACAGTGTTCCACTATTGCATCTAAAGCTGCCGATTCATTATAAAAATTCATAGGCCACACTAGTGGGTGAAGTCACATTGAGAAACATTTAAAATTCCAAATTGTATTGTAATGTGCACTATCGGAAATACCCACTGTGCCTTTAACGGGAAGAGTCTGCATGGCTTGAGGGCATTATTGTAATGGTAGGTAAGCATACAATCTTGCCGACTGGGTTTTACATCTTAGGCATGCACAATGTCAAAAACAAACATTTAGTCGAAATGCAGTATTACCTCAAGTTGATGTAGAAGAATTTGTAATAAAAAAACCTTAATTGAAAAAAGGAAAATGTCCTTACACTGCCGATGGAGCCACAGCAGGGCCTGAGAGCCACGCCACTGATGCAACACGGATATTAACCCATCCTTGTCTACCGCTTCGATGAGTAACTGATGCACCTACAACGACCAGGCAGGGTGGTGCTAATTGCACCACCCTGCCGTGTAATTTTCTGGCCTTAATTCTCGCTAACAGTATTTTCGCAGTATCAGTCTAAGACAGGCAGACCTGGGATCATTCTGTTGGTGGGATGGGGTATGTTTGACCCCCTTTTCCGCATTCCAATTCCTGTGTGCAGGTGGTTTGCGTGCCTCTGTGGATCCTCATGTCATTCCTGTGCCTCGTGGTGCTCTACTACATCGTGTGGTCCCTTCTCTTCTTACGCTCGCTCGAGGTCATGGCTGAGCAGCGCCGCAGCCACGTCACCATGGCCGTCACGTGGATGACCATTGTGGTGCCGCTCCTTGCATTTGAGGTGCGCCGGCCTGGCCTTGCGCAACCACTGTCCACTCGCGCCAACTCAGACCCTTAGCCGCACATCAAACCACGGCACCGACCTGCACACTAACCCATAGCCAACTAAACATGCGCATACCAACTCGGACACTGTCCACAACACGAGGCCACATTAACCCACAACCTATACATTTGCATTCTAACCTAAATCCAAATATTTACTTGCATACCCAGCCATGCTTACCAACACACACACACCCATTCACTCTTTCAACCAACTACTCATTCACCCACTTATTGGCCAACCTGCTCATATGCCCATCCACCCACTCTTCATCCCTTTATGCCCATTGTGATGTTAAACTGTTAATTATAATTTTTCAAATCTGAGCAAATTAATTCTCACTAAAGCAGCAATTGATGTTCCAAATTCTTCTTTACACTCCATAATGATTTAATCGTGAGCACTTAACGAATTTACACCGGATGCGTGTCATTCATCTTAATGTCAAGCGCACCAGCGAGTGATGAACCGGTTGTGAGATTTTATAAAATCACAGTAGACTCTTAAAGGCTACAAAGTTGTCTTCCATTCCCTCTCTACAGGTGCTGTTGGTGCACAAGATAGATGGCAACTCCTCGCTCTCCTACGTCCACATCTTCATCCCGCTCTGGCTGTCTCTCCTCACGCTCATGATCAGCACCATTGGCCAGAAGGGAGGGAATCACTGTAAGTGGCAGGGCTTTAGCCCCGAGGGTGGTGCGTAGGGTATGCTGATGAAATGCTACACAGAGGCATGGTCGCACAGTTAAAATATGTGCTTACAAGGCAAGGGCCATTTGTGGGCGCCACAGTGGCGACATGTTATTTGCCTCGCCTGGAAAACTGGAGATCGTGGGTACGAACTTGTATATTTGGAGTGTGTGTGTTCTCCCCATGGTCGCGTGGGTTTTTCTCCGGGTCCTCCGGTTTTTTCCTCCACATTTAGATACATGCGTTTAGAGTATTTGGCTGCTATAAATGTCCACAAGCCACTGTTTTGCGCTATCACTTGTGGACAGGTCGATTATGAAAAAGAGCTATATAACTGAGTGGGCCTTAACTGGTAAAATAAATTAAAAGAGCTGAGTTTTATAATTTATTTAATCTGCATCTTTCATGAACATGGTCTCTTCTACCACCCCTGACCCTTTCCTGGCTGTGCACCCAGGGTGGTTCGGAATCCGTAAGGATTTCTGCCAGTTCTTGTTGGAGCTGCTGCCTCCGCTGCGCGAGTACGGGAACATCGCGTACGAGAGCGAGCGTGACACGGGCGACGGAGGAGGCTCGCTTGCCGACGATCCCGAGGACCCGCCGCTGTACGAGACGCACAAGATCCCCCCCATCTTCAGCAAGAAGATGGGGGGAGTGGTGACCCAGAGCCCTGGCAAGTACCTGGCACCCCCACCCAAGCTGTGCATCGATCTGCCTGACTGATCGAGTGGCGCGACCAGCAGCAGGGACGTACGTAACGCAGTTGTGTCATCGCCAGCCCCAGTAAGACACGGACTTAAATGTGTTTGTGGCCCCGCCAAAACTGATTCGCACCTGCATTGGAGCTTTTGTTTTGTTGGTTTTTACGAAATGTTTAAAGTAGACTGTCATTTTACATGGTGTGCAAGATGAACTTGTGGTATGTTCCTTAAAAGGGATCTTAGGTTAAGCCTGTTAAGAGGCCAACATGTGAATATATGTTTTGTTAAAATCTTAGTCGCTGCGATTTGGAAGTGCGTTCTCAACCAAAAGAGAAGCGTGCTGGGGCCAGAGTAGAGATCTTCAGGTGTAGTTTTGTTATTAAATCGACTGAGATTGCACATAAGTCGGTAAGCCTATAAAGCAGTGTTCTGCCCCCATGTACATAATGGCCAACTGAAAGGCACGTGCAACTGGCATTTGCCAAAAGCAAACACTGAGATGTTTGTGCCACCGTTTTTTTTGTTGTAACAAATTTGAAGGTCTTCACTTAGTTACAGTACCAGCCATTGGTGCATTTAAATTACCAATCCAACGTTTGCGTGTATAACGCTGCAGCCAATATTATTTGGAATTGCGCACTTTACAAGTATACACATCAATTTACATTGCGTAAACTCAGTTTGCAAAATGGACATATCACCTCCCCACTCGCCCGCGTTCAATAACACTCGTTAGCGTGCTTAAAGTTTTCAGCCTCAATGGCTGTTGGAGAGACAAATTAAATCGCCAATTGCTCTTTTTTTCACGGTTTTAAAGCGTTTCTTGACATAAGCATGAGTAAATATGTACAGTAGTTACCAAACATTAATTTACTCAAGGTATATTATTTGTATAAACATTGTAAAGTAAATTCTATCAACCCACCCAATAGTGACCCATTCTGGTGCAGATCAAGTAATGGGCAAATCTAAGAATTAAAAACTAACACCACCATGCCATGAGCACCACGTGGTGTTGCAAGGCAGGGTGGCACACAATTTGAATTATTTAGATTGTGTACAAAACGTATGTATTCTGGAAATTGTAAATGTTATTTATTGTGCATTTAACGTTGCTTTGATACAGCCTTTTTTCCAATGTGATTTTTTTTAAAGAGTGTAACCTGATTTTTTATGTTAAAGTTCACTGCTTTGTTTTGTAGTTGACAGTAAAAAGGCCTAATTTTAAGTGGAATTTTGAACAGTAAATTTTATGCTTCAGAATTCCACTGTTGTAAATATTGTTCTGTAACAGCCATTTTCAAGACTAATATTTTATCATTTTGGTAAATGCTGAACAAAAATCTCCCATTTACATTTGATAATAAATAATGAACACGTGGTATGTGAATATATGGGACATATGGTGCAGAATGAACCAAAATAATGCAACGTCCAACTTGTATGAGAAATTCCTCTCGGCATGGGTAGTAAAAGCAGAAAAAGATACAGCAGAGGTTGCTGGTCTCTTAAAACTTCCTGTAACCATTGAAACTCGGCCAGCGTTCACTTGAGTTATTGTTTTTCTCCAACAGCACCTTTTGATTTGAATGATACATCCAAAATGACTCCAGCCACCATACTGGAGACTGCATGCATTCATGTTGGCCCTAAGGTTGCACTAATTCGTGCGAGATGCTTATTGCTGATGAGGTGCAAAATAAGCAACTTTAAATTAAATCCATGATACATTCATAATTGGAATGTTTTAATGCGCATAAACTAACCTTTTTGTTTAATATGCATACAGTGTAAACCAGTTAAGCTTACAAATGTTGCATATAAATGTCAGTGTTTTACATTTTTGTTTGCAATGTGTGGTTGTACCTCAAGATGCCAAATAAATTAGCGTGCCCCCCCCCCCCTCCTTAAAGACTGTTTACGTTTTTTCTACTATACTGGCTTCTACAGATAAGCGAGTGCTGGTGCATTAATGCCTGTCAATCAATATCACTTTAAAAAGGATGTCCATTGAAAGTAAAAATGAATTTTCTAAGTCACTTCTAAGTTGACGCTGTCAAATTATTTAAAAGAGAGGAACCTTTAAACTGTGGAAATATGAACAAGCAGTAAGTAACAAAAAAAATCTAGAATATCACCTTCGTCAATATAAGCTCTTTACAGTATGGAGCACTGTAAATATTTAGAGGCACCCACCCACAATACTGCACACGTGCCCACTTGTACAGAACATAAATGCTGTATCAATATCAAATATGAATGTTAGTTCCCAGAAGTGGTTAATTCTTATGAGCAAATTTGTTTTGAAATAATTTTCAGAAATCATTACTGCAATTTCATGCACATTTTACAATGAAAAGTTGGCCATCCTTTTTTAGTCAAAATTACAGCAAGCACAATCACTTATAAAAAATTGTATAACTCTAACATATTGACAGATCATACAAAATAATAAAATATGAAAAAATACATATAAATAGTGTTGCTTAAAAACATCAGCAAAGTTATGTAACATTCACAGTTGTATCAAAAATACCAGACTTGTGCCTTCTAACTCACAGGGGTCCCAATACTACATATTACAAATACCATTCATTTAGTCTGACTGGGTGTTATCTGCATTAATTAGAATTATTTCCATAAATCCACAGGTAAACAACAGAAATGATATTTGTGTGTTACTTAAATAGTGGAATATAAGTCTTTATGCTTTGCAGAACTGTTGCATAGACATAAACCAATGAATTATGGGCCAAGATCATTTTGTCTGAAATAAGATACAAACGTTTTAGGACATGTCAGCACCCACAGTAGTAATGGGAATCTACTATGGATGTTAAGCCATGCAGAGAAGTCTTACAAAGCCAGCTCCAATTCCCTTCCTATACCTATCAGTTACCCATGTCCAAGTCTCCCACAATGTACCCAATGTTCTATATCTAAGCAGGGTTCAGCCTCGGTAGTACTCTGGTGTGTGACGGCCATGCACAAATTGCTATAGGCTGCAGGGCTGTGGTGGGAATTAGAATGAAGTGCAGCATAATCCACTTGCACTACTCCTATGCTCCCTAATTTCAATCTACACTGACAAGTGTGGTGAAGTATGGTTGTATAACATCCACAACCAGAACAGCCTGGGAAGGCCCTCATCCAGCAGTGGATTGAGAACTGTACACATACACTTATCGGCTACTACTGTGGGTGCTGCCAGGATGTGCAAAGATAAAGAATTGTTGAAGGCCATGGCAACACCTACGGGGCTCTCAGCCACCACCCCAAGTAATGAGCCTAGCCCTGACAAAAGAGGGGATTCCATCTGCACCATATATTAGGCAAGAGGAAGGTCACAGGGGAAGCCCCCCATTGTAATGTATCGGAAGATAATGGATTCCTGGTGGTTACAGATATATATTGTATACAGTGTTCACATTGCCATGAAAAGAGAGGCACGAGAGAGCCCCATTCACTCTGACAGGTACAGGAGGCGGATTTGCGGGGCCGTTCTCAGACTTCTCTGCATGGTCTATAATTGATACCAAGATAAGTTACCACTGTTTTGCTATGACCTATACAAATCCTTTATGTAATTACAAAGTTTTATAATAAGTAATTTGTCAATCCAAGCAGGACTTTCGAAATAAAAAGAATCCAAGATTCCCTGAGGTAACGGTTTTATAGTTATCATTATACATTGGCAAAACTTTGCCTTTTTCTAGTTAAAATTAGATGTCTGTACTTGATTTGAAATATGCCCTGATATGCCATGCCAATTTGATGCCGGTGAAATGTGGGCATGTTCACTGTGACGATGTAAACTTAATGCAGTGGCTGTCGCCGTCTTAGGCTCAACGATCACGGATCGGAATCCCCTGGGTCGAGTAGCGATTCAGCTGCACGCACACACGGTGAAGACAGAACGGGAGGAATGCGTGCCATTGTTAGGATTGCCACTTGAAATGGCTTTTCCAGGAGGTAGCTGTCCTAGGAAATTTAAAAATCTTACCAGAGAGAATCCTTCCCATGATATGATGCCGTTATTCTACACCTTAGAAATGGCAACCCTCGCGGCTGTATGCCACGTGGGGAAATGAGATTCAGGTGAGTGAGTCACATGGGCACAGCAAGCGGGCACCGGCATGGGAGGTCAGAGGGAAGGGCTGCTTACCTGCTGAGTGGCAGCGGTGGCGCGGTTCTCTGCCTGTGCCAACCTTTTCTGTAACCGCTCCACCTTCTCCTGGCTCTCAGCCTGCAGCTGCTGGCTCTGGGGGGGCAAGGGGTGACAGGATATCATTACTTCCACATTCCTAATTCGTGCACTCGTACAATGATTCTGTTAAGTTAATTATGTGCCCACTGAAACCACGTCTGCTTTAATAAGGAAGACCTGGGAAAGTAAAATGATGTAATTTGTTTACACAGCAGGATGAAGGAATTCCTCATTCACCAGTCATTGACTAAAGGGCTTTACATGTACATGCACTACACATTCACTCTCACCTCAACCAAATCCATGCGGGCAGCTTCCAGCAGAGCGGTAAGCTCCTGTGCGTGTTGCTTGTGCCGGCTAAGCTCCGCTCTGCCGCACACACAAATATAGCAACACTTATAGGACTCTGAAATCCCTTTGGTGAGCCACGCATTTACACTTGTGAACATTATCCAATAATCACGGCAAAAAAATAATGTCTGCATAAGCACAAACAACAAGTCCTTGCAGTGACAGAATTGAGCAAAAAAAAAAGTTTCCAGGCCAAAAATATCCCCTTCTGGTGCAAGATTCGTGTGGCTAAGATGCAGTGATGATTAAGTAACGTTTGTGGGCCTCATGTGGCTACAGGCCATATGGAATTAAGTCACAGGCTCTATCTGTCCCAAGAGGGGCCCATAGGTTCCCCACCCCTGCCTTTTGCATTGATTTGATACAAATGTATGTTTGATACATAAAATTGCTTCAAACATACTTTTGCCTCGGTGCTGTACACTGGCAAAGATAAACTGACTTTTCAGCCAATGCAAGAATTTCTTCATTTGAGGATATCGTTTACATTACCATTGCCTAACGGTGAACCAGAAACGGAAACCAGCAGCCATGGCATAAAGCATTACCAATAAGAGTTGAGCAGCAGTGCGCGTCTGGTGGCATGTTAAGGCGCGCGCTGCTGCCACCAGACGAACTGCGTGTCGGCTCGTGTCCCCACCCACAGAGCGCCACTCACCCAAGCTTGGCGACTTTCCTCTGTGCAGCGGCGGTGGCATTGCGCGCCTCCTCACGGAAGCGCGTGGTGAGACTTTGCTGCGCCCCCAACATACGGTGCAGCTCCTCGACAGACGCATGCCCCGCAAGCTGCAGCTCCTTCAGCCGTGCCTCCAGCGCCGCCTCCTGTGCCTTGCTGTCGTGTTGCATGCGCCACACCTGCCACGCCAGAATGCTATCAATACCGCATCATCATCACCACTTTATATTTTTATCACGTCTCCCATACAGCACACCTCTGCGTCAGCTGCCTCTGTGAGACACAAGGTTAATGAGACAAAAATGCAGCACCGGCCAACATATGGGCCATCGTGTGCCAGTTTGAGGCGATGTTGCTATGTGGATATCCAATGAAGTAAATGGTTGGTAATTGATTAAATTTGGCAGTTAGACTGAACTATGCCCCTGACACATCCCCTACTCATTAGAAAGTAACATTGGATATTTAACATCCAGTGTAATATATACGACATATATAATGTGGTTAATACAACCGCAACATTAACCACGGCTGTCCGTGGGCCCGAACCACAAACCTCAGCAACGAGCAGCAATACAAATGAGCCACGTTATCGCCAGGACCTTCATTGCACATCCCTGCTGGCGCGCAATGGTTAATATGCAAAACAGATCATATATCGTACAAGGATGCAATACCCGATACACATACACATCACAGCGATATGCTCCGCTACTCCTGACGCAGTTATCTGGCTTGACAACCTGAATATGAAATTGTAGTTTTTTTTTTGCATCTACATCAGCCATACGAAAGAAGAGTTTGGTTAACATCCGGAGCTGGGCCGAGCACCTCTTTGCGTGCTGCTCGCGTTGCCTCCTGGCCCTCGCGACGCATCTCCTCCGCATGCCGCCGCAGCTCGTCGCCCTGCCGCTGTGCTGCCAGCAGCTGCTCGCCGGCGTCTTGGCACTCGGCCCGCGCTGCCTCCAGCTGTGAACGCAGAGTCTGCACGTCCGCCCTCGCACGCGACCGCTCCTCCTCCAGCCTGAGCCACCGCCACCACCACCATGCAGACAGTGATTTGAAATTACGTGAGACAACATGACAACACGATGCAACAAGACAGAATGCAGTGCATCTTTACAGAACAGCATGACATGACAAATTCAACAAGATACACAATACAAATATTGAACAGGAAATGGCATGACATACGACACAACCTGAAATGAAAACATGACATACCATGCCATACTCCAACACAACGTAACAAAGATACAACACTCCACAAAATGACAACCAAACACAAGAGGACATGAAAACACAAATAACACAACATGCAGAAAAATAGTACCGTGTTCAGTGTCTGTTGAGACATTTGTGTAATGGCAACTGTGTTGCAGTAGTTTGTGCCCTGTGCTACAATCACAACATTTTGGCTTTGATTCCAGATTGTCAATAACATTAGTGGAAAGTGCTGCAGAATTTTTCCTGAACCTAAGTTCCGAACTCAACTAAGCCTTAAAAGAGTCCCTGGCAGTGTGTAAATATTAGCACTGGGGGAAAAAAAGACAGCTGGGCGCGCTGCTGAATACTTCACATTCTGGAGTGCCGTGCCAGCCTGAAGATGTCATTGCCCTAGCAGTCTGTATGGCTAAACAGATTATCTGTCTTTGTGTGTGCGTGTGTGTACAAGCATGCTTGTGTTTGATGGTTAGCAACAGAGCTTAACTTCATATTTCCGCACTTGGCACACCACATCCAATATACCTTTCCCTATGACTGTGCCTACTATTCGCGTACCAACTCCAGTCTACCAGCGACTTAGAAAATGCCCATTGATGAACGAAGCCCTGGTTAGCGCCCACTCACTGCATTTCGGCAGCTCGAAGCCTCGCCTGCGTGGCCTGCAGGCTGAGCACCATCTCGTCACGGGCTCTCTCTGCCACCAGACAGCGCTGAAGAAGCGCGTCCGCCTTGCGCTGCTCCCCCTCGGTCCCGTGGCCCTCACGGTAGAGCTGACATATGGAATAAAAAAAGCCTTGTTCCTTTAAACATCCCTCACATGTATTAATAATAGACCCCTAAAACAGGTAAGAACTCACTGAGATTACATGATGCACAAAAGAAGACCTGATCCAGGTATAATGGTGACACATTTAAATTCAGTGACGTAGAGACAGGATTGGTGGCTCAAATTAGACACTTCTTGTAAGATAATTTGGTGGTGTGCCTACAGGAGGTGATCTAGCAAACAGTTTTGCAACAGGTTCTCTGCAGATTGAAGTTTGAGTGTTGTGGCCTTCAGTCGCTCATATTTCCATCAATCATCACTCTCTGGGCAGACTGGTGCATCGTAGAAACTAAACACAAACTCTTATCTCGGAAAAAATCAGACTTACACGCACCGAACTCAATCAGTTAGACAAGACACTCTACAAATCACACTTAACATTGACAGCAACAATGTCTACATCGGATTGGGAACATGTAGAAAATATGACTACCTCTTCGGCTGCCACTATGTCGACCAAATGTAGGAACAATTTGATTTCCAAATTCAATCACCTCTCCAACAAAAAATCGGATCCACACACCGAAAAGATAGACGTTAACAAAGTCGTAATTAATCGCAGTAACAGTTCCATTTCTGATGGTCTGAAATCCGTTTTAGCTAAAGGTCTAAACTTTGCTGTCACACCGAGACACATACCGGTTAATGATATCATTGCCCATGTCGACGTTGCACTCAAGGGCTTGAGTCACATCTCTGCAGACGTAGCAAGATCTGAAATCGCTGCAACCCTCAAAAACGCTAAGTTGCCACCTAGCAACATCAGCAAAGATGAACGCTTTGAATTATCTCAATAAAAAAAGAGAGATAATATTGTCGTCCTCTCAGCCGACAAGGGCAATGCCAACGTCATCATGGACAAAACAGAATATAACAACAAAATTCAAGAACTACTCAATGATGGCAGCTTTACAAAAATATAAATATATCCCACAAACAGCCTGGTTACCAAAACGAACAAAATCATCTCTGATTCAACAGCATTAATTGATCAGACCAAACAGTTCTCGTTGAAACCCTCTGCTGCCAGACCACCAAGATTATATGGCCTTCCAAAGATACACAAAGAAGATACACCCCTTCGTCCCATCGTCTCTACTATCAATTCCCCCACCTATAAACTGGCACGTTTTCTTGCTGATATACTGCGACCTTTCACTGGAAAAACCACCTCTGCGATACTAAATTATACTTACCTGGTATAGACAATCAAAGGCATTTCCCTGTCCCCAGACGACCTGCTTGTCAGTTTTGATGTGGTGTCCTTGTTCACCAAAGTCCCGGTACCTGACACCATCGCTATCATTGAAGACCTGGTTCATCAAGGACTGCATACTGATGTACCCCCCCTGGTGAGACATTGCTTAACCAACATATACTTCACCTGGAATGGAACTTTCTACAAACAAACTGAGGGCACCCCAATGGGCTCCCCCCTATCTCCGGTTGTAGCCAACGCATTCATGGACAAAATTTGAAACTGACGCCATCCAGACTGCCACTCTACGCCCGACCTTATGGAAGAGGTACGTGGATGACACTTTTGTCATCTGGCCACATGGCCAGCCTGCTCTAGACCAATTCCGCGACCACATCAATTCCATACACTCAGCCATCAGATTTACCATGGAGGTCGAAAAAGATGGCAAACTACACTTTTTGGATGTCTTAATTAAAAGGAGACATGATGGTTCAATGAGCCACTCTGTCTACAGGAAAGCTACCCATACAGATGCTTACTTGAAACCGGATTCCCACCACCATCCATCCCAGAAGAACTCCCTCATCAAGACTCTATACCATAGAGCCCAATGCATTTCCGACCAGGAACACATTACCAGTGAACTCAAGCACGTACACCAGGCTCTCAGGGCTAATGGTTACTCCAACTACACAATCCGCAAAGCCATCACTCCAGTCATGAAGAAGGATCCTCTTGTGGAGCCACTCAAAACCATCACCTTACCCTACATTGCAGGGGTCACTAAAAAGATCTCCAAAATCCTGAATAAACACAAGATCCAGGTCCGATTCAACACAGTACATAAAATCCGTGATCTGGTTCCATTTGTAAAAGATGCTGTTCCAGACATACAGTACCCGGGCGTTTACAAACTGAAGTGCCTCTGTGGTAGTAGCTACATTGGAGAAACCAAACGACATATCTCGGACCGCATCCGCGAACATAAAGCAGACTTGAAACACGGTAGAACGAACTCCTCTGCCGTGGCAGATCACTGTTATAATTCAGTGGGCTCACATGACATTGACTTCTCCAAGACGGAGGTTCTTTGCAAACCAACCGGCTACCATGAGAGATTCGTTCATGAGGCCATTCACATATACAAGCACAGAGACAATTTCAACCGAGAAGATGGATTCTGTTTCGATTTAAAGCTTTCGTGACTGCAATGATTCATCTTCTTTGGTTCTTTCGGTAAAGTCACGTAGAATGAGAATAAAATAATAAATTGATAAAATAAAATAACACAATAATATTCTCACGACGTTTCGGCCACAACACAAGCGGCCTTCATCAGGTGAAGGGAGCGAGACTGTCTGGTAGGACAGCGCTGGAGTGAGAGAGCCACGTTCAGATCACGGCTTTTAAGCTGTGTGAGAGGAACAAAGAGCCTTAGAGCCGCGACTCTAAGGCTCTTTGTTCCTCTCACACAGCTTAAAAGCCGTGATCTGAACGTGGCTCTCTCACTCCAGCGCTGTCCTACCAGACAGTCTCGCTCCCTTCACCTGATGAAGGCCGCTTGTGTTGTGGCCGAAACGTCGTGAGAATATTATTGTGTTATTTTATTTTATCAATTTATTATTTTATTCTCATTCTACGTGACTTTACCGAAAGAACCAAAGAAGAAGATGGATTCTGGCTTATTAACCATTGGAAAGATGCTTTAAACCATTTCGGTTGTTAATTAATTGTATTTTACGATGACCTTCAGACCGCAGCTCTTTCGCTGGCATTGACTCTTAATACCTCTCACACCACGGTTAATGGTATGGTTTACAACATGGAGTATAACAGCGCCTCGCAGCTGTCTCTCTCCCCCTCCTCCGTTCCGACCATGGATGAACTTGTCCGTCTGAACGGGGCTCGTAGCTATCCGTGGTGCTGAAGTTGAGGGGAAGAATCCACCCATTTTTTCACCATATAGCATTGTGATATATAACGACTTATTGTTGGTAGCTTAGCTGATTGGAGAATATATAGAGTTTATTGATAACATTCAGGTAGTTTATATTTTAGTTTTTATTGGTTTACTATATGGTATTCATTATATAGTGTAGTGTATACCCAGTTACTGTTAATAGCTCAGCTTATTGAAGAATATATTGAGTACATTTATTATATTGATGTAATTTAGACTTAGGTTTTTTCACATCGGTTTACTATATGATAGTCGAGTTGTTGCAGCCCCTTTGGCGTCCATGTACTAGGTGCCTCTGTAGATGTGTAGGCTTTGACTTTAACATAGCTATTTCTATGACCAGTCACAAGCTAATTCCTCAGTTATTTCAATGCTAAATTCTCCTGTTTGATTTATTTATACTAGGTGCCTCTGTGGATGTGTAGGCTTTGACTTTAACATAGCCATTTCTGTGACCAGTCACAAGCTAATCCCTCAGTTATTTCAATGCTAAATTCTCCTGTTTGATTTGTACTAGGTGCCTCTGTGGATGTGCAGGCTTTGACTTTAACATAGCCATTTCTGTGACCAGTCACAAGCTAATCACTCAGCTATTTCAATGCTAAATTCTCCTGTTTGATTTGTACTAGGTGCCTCTGTGGATGTGTAAGCTTTGACTTTAACATAGCTATTTCTATGACCAGTTACAAGCTAATCACTCAGCTATTTCAATGCTAAATTCTCCTGTTTGATATGTAAACCCCTTTGTCAAGGTGCCTCACTTCTCTAAACCAGCTTAAAAAGACGCTACGAATCTTAACAACGTTCATTGAAGCTCTGTCGTCCCGACAGGTCTGTTCCTTTCACCTGAAGAAGGCCACTTGTGTTGTGGCCAAAACGTCGTGAGAATTTTATTGTGTTATTTTATTTTATTCATTTATTATTTTATTCTCATTCTACGTGACTTTACCGAAAGAACCAAAGAAGATGAATCCTTGCAGTCACGAAAGCTTTAAATCGAAATTTACAATCCAAATAGTTAATGCATTGGAAGTGGTAAACAAACACATAAAAAAACAACTCACAATGATTCATCATTAATATTTCCCTGTAACAAAAAACATGTAATAGGCTAACATTTACAACAATGGTTATTCTTTTTAATAAGCAGCCTGTTTTGCTTTCAGGCAATCAATGACTTTAATTTACCCCAATGTGAGTATACCAGTGGGATTTATAAGATGATGAATCAGCAGTCTTGTAATGTGTTTTGGCATGTTGCGCTGCGATAGAAATTATCATTACTATTAGAATGCATTCATATAATCTCCGACTTCACATGCTACTATTGCACCTGTTACTTATGATGGACAAACCAACACAAATACAGCACCTTCTCGAGCTCATCTTCGGCCGCCCTCTTCTCCCTGATGGCCCGATCCATCAGGTTCTGCTTGTCACTGCACTCCTGGTGGACACAAACAAGGGAGTTAGCTGCCGCGTAGACCCTGCCCTGAAGCAGGACTCTGTGTAACGCAGATCGATATTCTACAGCAGTGGTTCACATTTGCTATGTCACCATCGCTGGAGTCGCAATAACAATTATAATTTAGAAAGCATCTAAATGCAGACATGATGTCTCCATACAGAATTATCATTGCATGTTTATGCTATATAAATTCAAACTATTGTTGTGAAGGAGAGTGACACCTCTAGATTTTAAGCTTTCGTGACTGCAAGGATCCATACTCTTTGGTTCTATTCGGTAAAGTCACGTAGGTAAAAATAAAATAACAAAAAATCACGACGTTTCGACCACAACACAAGTGGCCTTCATCAGGTGAAGGGACCGGACTGTCCAGAGGACAGCGTTGGAGTGAAGACAGCCAAGCCCAGGTCGCGTCCTTTAAGCCACTATTCTTAAGAATGCTCAGAAACCCATTAGCAACATCAGCAAAAATGAACGCTCTGAACTCGCGAAATTAAAAAACAGACGTGATATAGTCATCCTCTCAGCCGACAAAGGCAACGCTACTGTAATTATGGATAAAGATTCGTACAACAACAAAATCCAGAACCTACTCAACGATGGAAGTTACTCAAAAATTCAAAATGACCCTACTAATAGCCTAACTATAAAAACCAACAAGATCATCACAAGTTCGACCTCCCTAATCGAACCAACTAAACGTCCCTCCTTAAAACCTTCTGCTGCAAGACCCCCTAGATTCTATGGCAGGGGTCGGGAACCTATGGCTCGCGAGCCAGATGTGGCTCTTTTGATGATTGCATATGGCTCGCAGATAAAACAAAATATTCTCACTTGTTTTAATCCATCCATCGATTTTTCACTGCGCATGTCCTGTTCAGGGCTGCAGGAGCAATTGTCCATTATTTTAATTGGATGATACTGGCCTGCGTTTGCCGTTGCTGGGTAAAACAGGTAAACGCCCCCTTTTGAATCAGTCTGAGACTGCGTCTGCTCGGTCATTAGCTCAAAGCTAACCCTTCGACGAAGAAGATGGCGAAAAGAAAAAAAGACGACGAGTATCGTACATTTCAGGACGAATGGACCGAAGAATTCGCCTTTGTGGAGAGAGCGGGTTCTGCGGTGTGTCTAATTTGCAATGACAAAATTACATCGTTGAAACGGTCGAATGTAAAGCGGCACTTCGACACGCGCCACGCTACCTTTGCATCAAAATACCCTGCGGGAGACAGCAGAAAGAAAGCGTGCCAAGAGCTTCTGAGCAGGGTGCAAGCTAGCCAGCAGCAACTCCGCGTATGGACCCGGCAAGGTGACTATAATTCGGCTAGCTTTGCTGGTTCTTTAGCAATAGTGAGGAACGGAAAACCATTCACAGATGGCGAGTATGCTAAAACGTTCATGCTGGATGTAGCCAATGAACTTTTTGATGATCTTCCAAACAAAGACAAGATAATCAAACGGATACAAGACATGCCTCTGTCGGCAAGAACTGTTCATGATCGTACCATCGTGATGGCAAACAAAGTGGAGGAAACGCAAGTGAAGGACATAAATGCAGCGCCGTTCTTTTCTCTGGCTTTGGATGAGTCAACAGACGTGAGCCATTCGTCGCAGTTCAGCGTGATTGCAAGATATGCTGTTGGTGACACACTGCGCGAAGAAAGTCTTGCTGTTCTGCCATTAAAAGGGTCCACAAGAGGTGAGGATTTATTCAAGTCTTTCATGGAGTTTGCTCAAGAAAAAAGTCTACCTATGGATAAACTTCTCTCAGTGTGTACTGATGGTGCTCCGTGTATGGTGGGGGAAAACAAAGGATTTGTGGCGCTTCTCCGTGAACATGAAAATAGACCCATCCTAAGTTTCCATTGCATTATACACCAGGAGGCACTTTGTGCTCAGATGTGTGACAGGCAGTTTGGCGAAGTGATGTCGCTGGTCATTCGTGTGATCAACTTTATTGTTGCCCGAGCCTTAAATGATCGCCAGTTTAAAACACTGCTGGATGAAGTTGTAAATAACTATCCTGGTCTGCTTTTGCACAGCAATGTGCGTTGGTTGTCAAGAGGGAAGGTGCTTAGCCGTTTTGCGGCTTGCCTGAACGAAATCCGGACTTTCCTTGAAATGAAAGGCGTCGGGCATCCTGAGCTAGCCGACACCGAGTGGCTCCTCAAGTTTTACTATCTCGTAGATCTGACTGAACATCTGAACCAGCTCAACGTGAAAATGCAAGGCATTGGAAATACAGTGTTATCCCTTCAACAAGCTGTATTTGCTTTTGAAAACAAGCTGGAGCTTTTCATCACGGATCTTGAAACAGGTCGTTTACTACATTTTGAAAAACTGAGCCAATTTAAAGATGCATGCACAGCAAGTGAGCCCATTCAAAACCTTGATCTCCACCAGCTAGCTGGCTGCACATCCAGTCTCCTACAGTCCTTCAAAGCACGCTTTGGAGAATTTCGTGAGCACACTCGTCTTTTTAAGTTCATCACCCATCCAAACGAGTGTTCACTGAACACAGCCGACCTGAATTACATCCCTGGTGTCTCCGTCAGAGATTTTGAAGCAGAAGTGGCTGACCTGAAGGCCTCAGACATGTGGGTGAATAAGTTCAAGTCACTGAATGAAGATTTGGAAAGAATCACACGACAGAAAGCGGAGTTGGCGAGCAAGCACATGTGGACAGAAATGAAAAAACTCCAACCCAAAGACCAGCTGAGTCTCAAAACTTGGAACGCGCTTCCTGTCACATACCACACACTGCAGCGTGTGAGTATTGCTGTATTGACCATGTTTGGATCTACGTATGCATGTGAGCAGTCATTCTCACATCTTAAAAACATCAAGTCCAACCTACGATCACGTTTAACGGATGAAAGCCTCAACGCTTGCATGAAGCTTAACCTCACCAAGTACCAACCCGACTACAAAGACATCAGCAAATCCATGCAGCACCAAAAGTCGCATTAATGGTGAGTGTTATAACAACATTATTTAAAAGAATAAATTCAGAGGCTTATTATACTGACATTTAGTTGAATTCACTTTTAAAATATATTATATGGCTCTCACTGAAATAAATTTCCAAATTTTTTGCTTTCATGGCTCTCTTAGTCAAAAAGGTTCCCGACCCCTGTTCTATGGTCTCCCCAAGATTCATAAAGAAGGCACTCCACTACGACCCATCGTATCCACGATCAACTCCCCTACCTATAAGCTAGCACGTTTTCTGTCAGATACCTTGCTACCTTTCACTGGCAAGACCTCCTCAGCAGTACTTAACTCAGCTCATTTGGTCTCTATGGTCAAAGACGTTGTACTGTCCCATGACGATATCCTTGTCAGCTTCGATGTGGTCTCCCTGTTCACCAAGGTCCCGGTACCTGATACCATTGAAATAATTGAAAAATTTGGTGCAACATGGACTAGACCCCGATACACCTGCGCTGATTAGACACTGTCTCACCAATACCTACTTTACTTGGAATGGCACCTTCTACAAACAAAATGAGGGTACCCCCATGGGTTCTCCCTTATCACCAGTGATAGCCAATGTTTTCATGGAGAAATTTGAATCAAACGCCATCCAGACTTCCACCCCCAGACCTTCCCTGTGGAAGAGATATGTGGATGATACTTTCGTCATTTGGCCACATGGCCTCCCAGCTTTGAACCTTTTCCTACACCACATCAATTCTAGACATCCCGCCATCAAATTCACCATGGAAGTGGAGAAAGATGGCAAGCTACCATTCTTGGATGTTCTGTTTGAGAGGAGACCTGATGGCTCACTGGGGCATTCTGTCTACAGGAAACCCACCCACACAGATTCCTACTTGAAACCTGATTCCCACCACCACCCAGCTCAAAAGAATGCTCTCATCAAAACGTTATACCACAGGGCACATTGCATTTTGGACCAACACCACCTGACCAGTGAATTAAAACATGTACAAGGCGCTTTGTTTGTCAAGGCGCTTTGTTTCTTCTCACACAGCTTAAAGGTCGTGATCTCAGCGTGGCTTTCTCACTCCAGCGCTGTCCTCCAGACAGTCTCGTCCCCTTCACCTGATGAAGGCCGCTTGTGTTGTGGCCGAAACGTCGTGAGAATATTATTGTGTTATTTTATTTTATCAATTTATTATGTTATTTTCATTCTACGTGACTTTACCGAAAGAACCAAAGAAGATGAATCCTTGCAGTCACGAAAGCTTTAAATCGAAATACACCTGGCCCTCAAGAGAAACGGATACTCTGACCGTACCATCCGCCAAGCTGTTTCTCCCTCCATACAGAAACAACCACTTGATACTCCGGTCAAAACCATCACACTACCATATATAGCAGGCGTTACTAAAAAGATCTCCAAAATTCTAAACAAACACAAGATCCTGGTCCGGTTCAATACAGTACACAAAATCCGTGACCTGATCCCATCCGTGAAGGATGTCGTTCCTGACTTACAGTACCCCGGGGTTTACAAATTGAGCTGCACCTGTGGTGACTGCTATATCGGGGAGACGAAACGACATGTCTCTGACCGAATTCGCGAGCACAAATCAGATTTGAAACACGGCAGAACAAATTCTTCTGCCGTAGCTGATCACTGTTTCAACGCTGTGGGTGATCACGATATAGTTTTCTCCGATACCAAGGTTCTCTGCAAACCCACGGGTTTTTATCAGAGATTTGTCCACGAGGCAATTCAGATTTACAAACACAGACACAATTTCAACCGAGAGGATGGTTTCAAATTAAGCAATCATTGGAAAGATGTTGTAAATCAAACCAAACATTAAACTAATTTTCAATGGTACAGTATATTTTTTCAAGTAGTGGTGTCCCAAACTTTCACAGCAGCTTATTTCCCTTCACACCAACATTATGAAAACTCCTCCCCCCCCACCCCCACCGTGCCGGTCCAGTACATCATTTTATGCTAATTCCTTTGTCAAGGCGTTTTTTGTTTCCTCCCACACAGCTTAAAGGACGCGACCTGGGCTTGGCTGTCTTCACTCCAACACTGTCCTCTGGACAGTCCGGTCCCTTCACCTGATGAAGGCCACTTGTGTTGTGGCCGAAACGTTGTGATTTTTGTTATTTTATTTTTACCTACGTGACTTTACCGAATAGAACCAAAGAGTAGAGAGTGACACCGACTAGGACAACCTCTACCCTGAGGAAAATCATGATTGCCTCTGCTGTCCTACAGCAGAGGTTGCCATTTTTCATGTCACTATAGTCGCCTTGTTCACCGGCGCCACAACATAAACAACTATCTGAATTTATGTAACGTCTAAATTAAACTAACATATCTCAGGATGCTTCAATGAAATATATTTAGGGAAGTAGCAGAGTTGAGGGTTGAGGGCAGAGAAACATGGGAGAGAAGACAGCAACACCACGGCAGATCCTGGGTGAAAGCAACTGAGGCCCAACACTAAAACGAGCCCCAGGGACAACCGGGAGCAGCCAGGACAGTACCAACGAGTGCCAGGGCATTCTCAGGGAGGCCCTTCGCTAAACAAGCCCCAGGGCATCTATGTAGGGTCGAAGCCCAAACACCAATTCCCAAAGCATCAGGGCTGCTGCAGCCAACCATAAGACCTACCATCTGCAGGTTGGACAGCTCCGCGACCAAATGTGAAATCTGTATGTTGCACTGCTTCTTCACGTTCTCCACCTGCCCGGCCACAAAACGAGATCGAAGATACGTGTGGGTTACATTTACGTCCACTCGGCGTCGCGACACGACTTTAACGAGTCAGGCATACGTGTACCTAGCTGTTAAATCCCATCAGTCTGTGGCCTTAATGGCCGACTCTTCAGCCGCCTCATTGGATGTCTCTCCCCTTTGGGTTGCTGTAGGCATGTCCATTATCAGGAGCCTCGTTTCTCTACAAACGGTGTTTTTCCCATGAATTGCTGAGAATGCCTAGGGTGAATAAAGTGGCCTCATTCTTGTTTGTGCCAAAATTATTGCAATACCGGCCCCTCAGCCATGTTGTGTCCACTGTAACGCTCAACTGTGAAGTCAAAGAGGGTCCAGCCCTGGCTCGGAGGTGTGCACCTCTTTGCGGGTCCTGGCAGCCGCCTCCTGTACCAGCTGTGCCATGGCCTCCTTCAGTCTCTCCAGCTCCTCCTCCTTCTGCCGCTCACCCAGGAGTGCCTGCAGCCAACGGCAAAAACCGCTCGGCCATCACACGTGCGACATCCCCTACTTACAGCGTGTCTTCCATGTCACGGGCACTGCAGAATCACCCTCGTGTGTCTAACACTGGGATGCAGCCATGTCAAAGAGATCTGGCACAATGTCTATGGTATACACTCACGGGATCTAGCATGACCTTATAACATACCTTTAGCATCGTATTAAATAAAGGGAGTGATAAGTCACCATTTGTGAGTAAAAATATATTATTGCTATTGTAGCTCTTCCAGACCCAACAACTGGATTAGTGTAGCATATAACAGGGTAGCAGTCTAGAATTAGGGAGAGAAAAATATTAGAATATATTTTTTACTCACGCTAAAGATGCATAAAACAGCGCTCGGAGAAATGTAATAACACAAAAAAATATGCACAGACAGGTCAAAAGCGTACTTGCTGTTCACCTCCTACAAGTCACTGCATTTTTTATACCATAGGGCTCATTGCATTTCGGACCAACACCACCTGACCAGTGAATTAAAACATGTACACCTGGCCCTCAAAAGGAATGGATACTCTGACCGTACCATCCGCCAAGCTGTTTCTCCCTCCATACAGAAACAACCACTTGATACTCCGGTCAAAACCATCACACTACCATATATAGCAGGCGTTACTAAAAAGATTTCCAAAATTCTAAACAAACACAAGATCCAGGTCCGGTTCAATACAGTACACAAAATTCGTGATCTGATCCCATCCGTGAAGGATGTCATTCCTGACTTACAGTACCCCGGGGTTTACAAATTGAGTTGTACCTGCGGTGATTGCTATATCGGGGAGACAAAGCGACATGTCTCTGACGGAATTCGCGAACACAAATCAGATTTGAAACATGGCAGAACGAATTCTTCTGCCGTAGCTGATCACTGTTACAACGCTGTGGGTGATCACGATATAATTTTCTCCGATACCAAGGTCCTTTGCAAACCCACGGTTTTTATCAGAGATTTGTTCATGAGGCAATTCAGATCTACAAACACAGACACAATTTCAACCGAGAAGATGGTTTCAAATTAAGCAAGGTGTTCTAAATCGAACCAAACATTAAACTAATTTTCAATGGTACAGTATATTTTTCAAGTAGTGGTACCCCAAACTTTCGCAGCTCTTAAAAATTCCCTTTTCACACCATCAATAGGTAAACTCCCCCTCCCCCCCCCGCGCCAACCGGCATGTTCACCCGCATGTACACCACCTCTACACCGTTCATCATGCTAAGTCGGCCAATCAAATGCTAATTTTTATGCTAATTCCTTTGTCAAGGCACCTTGTTTCCTCGCACACAGCTTAAAGGTCGCGGTCTGAGCGTGGCTGTGTTTCACTCCAGCGCTGTCCTCGAGACAGCCTGGTCCCTTCACCTGATGAAGGCCGCTTGTGTTGTGGCCGAAACGTCGTGATTTTTGTTGTTTTATTTTTTACCTACGTGACTTTACCGAATAGAACCAAAGGGCATGTCACTGCATAGCTGTGCAGTTTGGGGTCTGTGACTCAACAACTGTATTTCCGAGTTACCGGATCAGAAACGAGCATCATCAGCACCATGTCCGGAAGACGAAGGCACACTACCTGCACTCCCACTTTTGGGCAGTGCAACTGGCTCACCTGGTCCTTGAGCAGCGTAGCCTCATCGAGGAGCTGCAGACCCTCACTTGCCCTTCGCATTGCCTGGAAGCGTTCCTCCTCCAGCTGGGCTGCTCGGAGTGCGGCCTCCCCCAGCTGTGCCTGCAGGGCGTCACGCTCCCTGCGCAGCGAGTCACCATCCTGTGCCGCCAACCGTAGCCTGTATCGAGGTCATCGATACCATCATAGCAGTCATCACTGACACCAACACCATCATCATCGTCACCACCGCCATTACTATCATCATCACCACCACCACCGCCGTCATTATGGTCACCACCACAGTGACTAGGAAGCCAGAGAGGAGCAGAGAGTTGACCAAGGGGTGAGATATCATCAGCTGCCAAACTACCTATGAAGGCCTCCCCAAGGCATCACCACCCCTCACATTCCCATGATTCAACAACCCCTCTAGCTTCTGCACGAGCTGATGTCATGACTCCACCACCATGCATGCTTTGATTTCCACTCCACAATCAGTCACGAAAATTGGGCACTATCCCTTCTCGTGACATGTCCTGCCAAGCCCACTTTCATAACAAAACAGCCAATATGATTTTGACCAATCTTCACATGTTTTGTAATTCTTGTGTTACTCTTTCTGTCTCACAGCATATGAGTCAAGGGGGGGGGGGTTGTTTGACCATACCTCACCATGTTCGTCAATGTTGGCTGATAAAGGATGGGTAGCTCAGGACTGGTTTACATATAAATCGCTAATGATGATAGCCGTGACCTGGAATTAAACACAGCTCACAAGCTACAAAACGAAGTGTGCTAACAGCTGCACGCACCACTACTCCATCTTGGATGTTAATAAATTAGGATGTAATAATATTTCTTAAAATGTAATCCATCAAACCAAAAATATGCATCGGAACGATATGAAGTTATATTGCCTGGTGGTATGCAATTGAAAAGGGTTGCAGTGAATTTGGCCCAATAAACCACGTTTATAGACATGACAGATGAGAATGGATTACCCGTGTAAAAATGTCACTGGGCAATTTTTTTCGCACTCTCTCGTGAGGTTTGTGAAGAACACAGTAACGTCATTTAATCAGTTGTCTGCCCACACACTGTAGCTTTAAGAGCATTATTTCTGTAGTTATTATTTTCACATCTGCAATTGAATGCAAGCAATGCTGACAATGTACATGGTCATTTAAGAATAGAGAGCATACATGTGATTAAATATAATCCGTGTGGATTACGTACAGCAATTCCTTTTGTTGCCTATGACCAAATCAGCTGGAACACGACGAATCCCATCAGATATCGGCAGCTAAGCCATGCATAAAGCAGGTGTTGTAAGCTATGGTGTCAGGTAGTGCAGAAAAAACATTGATGTTCTTGATTCAAAACTGCCATGTCTACGCTTCCCGTCTTCACCAACACAAACTGATCAGTTTGACTTCCCTAATCGAACCAGTCAAACGGCTCTTCATAAAACCCTCGGCTGCTAGACCACCCAGATTCTATGGTCTTCCCAAGATCCATAAAGATGGTACCCCTCTGCAGCCCATCGTGTCCACGATCAACTCACCTACCTACAAACTAGCCCGTTTCCTATCGGATACTTTGCTTCCCTTTACTGGCAAGACCACTTCAGCAGTTCTGAATTCAACTCATTTGGTCTCTCTAATCAAGGACATTTCACTGTCCCCTGATGATATCCTCGTCAGCTTTGATGTGGCCTCTCTATTCACCAAGGTTCCAGTACCTGACACCATAGCAATAATTGAAGCCTTAGTCCAACATGGATTGAACCCTGATGTCCCTGCACTGGTTAGGCATTGCCTCACCAACACGTACTTCACCTGGAATGGTACTTTCTACAAACAAAATAAAGGTACTCCCATGGGTTCCCCCTTGTCACCAGCGATAGCCAATGTTTTCATGGAGAAATCTGAAATAGACGCCATCCAAACATCCACCCTACGTCCCTCCCTGTGGAAGAGATATGTGGATGATACTTTCGTCATTTGGCCACATGGCCTACCAGCATTGAACCAATTTCTCAACCACATTAACTCCATACAACCATCCATCAAATTCACCATGGAAGTGCAGAAGGATGGCAAGCTACCATTCTTGGATGTTCTGTTTGAGAGGAGGTCCAATGGCTCTTTGGGACATAGTCTACAGGAAGGCCACCCACACAGACTCGTATCTGAAGCCTGATTCCCAACACCATCCGGCACAGAAGAATTCCCTCATCAAAACACTACACCATAGGGCCCACTGCATCTCTGAAAAACACCACCTGGCCAGTGAATAGAAACACGTACACCTGGCCCTTAAGATGAATGGATACTCGGACCGTACTATCCGCAAAGCTGTTTCTCCTACCATGGAGAAACAACCTCTTGAGACTCCTATCAAAACCATCACGTTACCATACATCGCAGGCATTACCAAAAATATTTCCAAAATTATAAACAAACACAAGATTCAGGTCCGATTTCGTGCAGTACACAAAATCCGTGATCTGATCCCATCTGTAAAGGATGTCATCCCTGACTTACAGTACCCTGGTGTCTATGAACTGAGTTGCATTTGTGGTGATTGTTACATTGGGGAAACGAAACGACATGTATCTGACCGCATTCGCGAGCACAAGTCAGATTTGAAACACGGTTGGACGAATTCTTCTGCCGTGGCTGATCATTGCTATAACGCGGTGGGTTCTCATGATATTGTTTTCTCCGAAACCAAGGTGCTCTGCAAGCCGTCTGGATACCACCAAAGATTTGTCCATGAAGCCATACAGATATACAAACAAAGACATAACTTCAACGGAGAGGTAGGATTCAAATTGAGCAATCATTGGAAAGATGTTATTAACCATGTTAAACTTTAGCTGCCTTAGGGTTTATATTCATATCTTCGGTCTTTTACTCCCAGCCTTACACACTACCATCACTAGGATATTTGACTTGCAATGTTTCAATCGTGCAAAGCTGTCTCCCATCCCACTCTCCCCCGCGCCGCGCCGCCACCCCCCCCCCCCATCCGTGGTGCAGGAGCAGGAGCTTTACCATCCCTGTCTCCCAACACCCCCCCCACCCTGCATCCATCCTCATGTCTCTCATCCCACTCTCCCCCGCGCCGCCCCCCCCCCACCCCCCATCCGTGTTGCTTGCTTTGTTTTATAGTGACATTACAGAGGGAGAGAGGGGGGGAGGCCATACCTGGCATCCAGCTGCGTCACTGTCTTGCGCATCTGCTGCGAGCGCCGCTCGGTCGCCTGTTCTTGCCCCCGCATGGCCGTGTCCTCCTCCTCCTGCGGCACCGCGCGGGTACGAACATTAACATGGGTGCCACGGTGGCGTGATGTTAACTACCTTGCCTGGTATGCAGGCGGTCATGAGTTCTATCCCAACCCCGGCATCTGCATATTTGGAGTTTGTATGTTTTCCCGGTGGTCACATGGATTTTTCTGCAAGTCCTCCGGTTTTTCCCTCCACATTTAGAAACATGCGTTTAGTATTTGGCTGCTATACATTTCCACGTGATAAGCCACTTCACTGGGCTATCATTTGTGACCAGGTCGCTACTGAAAAAGAGCTACACAGCTCAGTGGGCCTTACCTAATAAAATAAACATACTTTAGTTTAGTAGTTTAATATTAAACACCGAACAATTCATCCCCCGCCCCCCAACTCCCTGTCTGCCCAGCAAATTAATTGTTTGATTCAGGGTAGGAATTCGAATCAACGGTTGATTCTGTTTTGTCTTATTTCAATGATCTTATTTATACTGCTTAGAATTTGAAAAAAAAATTGGAAGAGAAATGTCAGAAAGTTAAAGAATATTTTACCAAAGAGTACAAATAAGATGGTCAAAATAAAACATTCAAATATCCTAAATGTAACACGAGCACAATAATTGCATAGCATTTGCATAAACCATTAATAAAAGATTTTCATGTTTACAAAGAGATGCATTGGTCGTGAGCACAAAAACAGATTTTATTTAATTAATCAAGTTATTGTTGCATGACTTGTGAACATCATCACTCAGACCCATGAATAACCAGTATCCTGGTCGGATACCACATCATCACTACTCAGCAGGCTGATCTCACAAAGAGCAGCAGAGCCAGTGGGGACAGCTGTAGAAAAAGGATTCCAACAGCTGCAAACTACTACCCTTTGCTCTTATTCCACTGGTGTCTGTTCCCCCTGCCTATTTCACAACAATTAACTGGTGACGACTCCTACACAGGTCATGAGCAACATTGATGAGTAAATCGCCCTCCCAGGATCTATACCTATGGTAAAATTCGAATATACGCTAGAGTCTAGACTATTACTATAGAGCCATTTTTAAATGTTTACCCAAGAACAAGTAGATTCATTTTCTTATTATGACAACCCAGCTTGGGATCTCTGGCCATTTACTTTTTTGTTAATGTTTGCTTGGGTGAGGAAACTGGGAAGCCCAGTAAAAAGACCACACGTAAAAATGCAACCACATGCCAAGATGCTATACAAACTTGGGGAAATTGTGGATATGTAGAGAATTTGAAGAGGGGTTTAATTGAGGAGAGGAAGTTTAGAGACCAGAGAGGGAGTTGGAATGACATTGTCACGGAAGTGCAGTTAAGACACTTCATTGCAAAAAAAAACAGTAAATAATAGGCAGCCTGCTTTTAAAGCAAGGACATTCCAGACAATCGAGGTAGAATCAACTGACAAAACGTACAAACATAAAGGTTGCTATATTCTTAGTTTTTTCGGTAAAGTCACGTTGAAGAGAAACAACAAAATAACAAAATATATATAAAACAATAAAAAATTCTCACGACGTCGAAACGTCGTGAGAAGCTTAATGGAAGTTTGGTTATCTGGTACTTATTCTGCCTGACCTACTGCACTGCCAACTTCATTTCTCTGAACAAGTCCAGGCTGAACACTCTTCTCCTCCACTGACTATGAGTGTCTCACTCAGTGAAGCATCTTTATTCTCACCTTTACCCTCATTGGCTTTCCATCTTATCCCTGTAGCCTGCTATATCCTCCACCTCCCATCTTGAAACATGTTCCACTTAATATAGCTCCCAAGATGCATATGGACCCCCTGTTGGAATATAATTTTGAGATGGGGTCGCATTCAGACACGTTTAAAACCCATATATGCCGGGAGAAAGTCCATGTCTGTCATCCGGCACTTTGTGACTCCAAGCCCACTGGTCTGTGAGGTGGCCAGGAGATGGCAGTACAGCAAATTAGTGTGGGAGCCTGTCCATGCAAACCTGCAGTTTTTAATGTATGGGTTTTCTTTGGGAACTCCAGTTTCCAATCCCATTAAAAAATATAAAATAGCGTTTGTCAAAAATTCCAATGTAAATGAGTCTTGGAACTCGTGGAGGTTTTCCTAAATTATTGAATGTCAAAATGTTTTGGAAATTGTATGGTGTGGTTACGTTGTGAGCAGCAGATGGCAGTGCACCTAAATCAATCGTCGTACTGTACAATGTCTATGCTCCCCACTTTCACCAACCTGCACTGATCAACATGGTGAACATGATCAAATAGTCCCCCCCCCACCTGCCACCAACTTCATTGGCATGGGGAAGCCCCTACATCCAATAGTGGATTGACAAAAAAAGGGATAAACGTGCATGTATGGATTAGTTGTACCGTGTACGCAAGAAACAAGCATTGCATGACTGTACTGACTTTCTTCAGCAGCTCCTCGCGAAGATTCTGCATTGCTCTGCCCAGCTCCTCAGACTTGGCATCGGACGTGCGCAGCTCCATCTTGGCCTGCCTACACATGTGGGTGATGCAGGGTGGGCACCATAAAAGGGCAGTGGTGGTGATGGCATTGGGTACGGCACATCGGAGCCTCGGGGCTGTCTTCCACTCCCCCGTCTCTGACATCTCCATCGAATTTTACTTTACAGATTACACCACTGATGTGCAAACGTGAATGTAAATATTTCTGAAGCAAATTAAAACACAAACAAAAGCAATTACTGTGACTGAATTTCACATGAATTGAATTATTGTACTGTGTTAAAATGTATGACCATTGTTACAACTTACATATTTTTTGTTTCTCTACATTGATTTACTTTTTAAAATGAATGCCTTAGATAAATGTTCATGGAATAAGAAGTGACGCACAGCTTACAGTGGGAGACAGGGTTGTGCGCTGAAGCAGAATGCAGCACAGCAGGACACAAGACAAGACAAACGGGGCAAAGCTAGAAAAGGTGGGCTGAGGCAGGATGGTGTACAAGAGGGTGGAAGGGTGCAACACAGCAGGGTGGGATGAAGAGAATGCATCGGAGTAGGGTGAGCATGGGGCAGGATGAAGCAAAACAGAGTGGAGCGAGGCCAGGTGCAGCACGCCAGAGTCGACCATACCGGAGCTGAATGCGCAGCTGATTCAGCTCCACGTTTTGGTCACCGAGTGTTTTCGCCAGCTGCTGGTTGCTCTGCAGTGACACAGTACGGTCACCCAAAATTTGATATTCCGTTACATTTCAAGGATATTCGTCAAACAATCAAAGTTGTTGAAAACCAACATGCCCGTCGGTGACTTGTGTTTTTCTCACCGTTTCTAGCCTCTGTTTAGCGACTTGCAGCTGCTGGGAAAACTGCTGCACCTCCACCAGATGCTCCTGCAGGAGGACACACACAGACAGGGCTTGTTGTTAATTTAAGGAAGACATGTGTCAGCAGCAAGACTGCATCATCAATCTTGCACAGCAGCAGCATCAGCGGATAGAATCAGGGTGCCAAAAGTGTATTACATCATAAACCTTTACCTTTAAGATTTTATTATTTCGAACTATTATTCCCTTGTGGAAAATGCTGCTGAAAGGAATACTGTGCAGCCCATCAAACACTGCCCATATAATTTACTACTTTTAATAATGGTAAATACCTGAAAGATATCATCAGAATTATATACTTCAAGTGAGCCATTCATTCCCTTGGGGCCTTAATTATGTATTTAAGCTCTTGCATAAGCCCCTGTGACAAACCTAAGTTATGTCTTGGTGTCGATGTATTCGTGCGTGTTCACTGGAGAACAGGGTATTGAATATGTAAAGGGAAAAGCATAACTTTGATCATGGTAATCCAAATCCTGAGCATAACACCAGACAAAAACCTGGGCTGGACATTTTTTAAGGTGTCGCAATAGAAATGTATGGACAGCACGCTCTAAAACGTGTAAAAGAGTATCAGTGGGGAAAAAATGTTGGTGATAATGTACCAGCAGTACTTCAGCAACATAAAGAAAACAAAGAGAACACAGTTTCTTTACAACATAGTCGTCTCAATAGGTTCTCACAAGATAAAGAGAACAGAAGTGAACTCTGATCCTTTGTAAACATACCAATGCGTGTTGTTCACTGGTTGTTTACTAACCTAGGAGGTGGGTATGTATGTGTTGCCAGAGTGAAAGAGACCTAACCATGATTAAAGGTAGGTTCTTCAACTATATTTTCCAGCGGGCTACATAATAATGTGACATTATGCATGTGTTCTGGAGAGCCACATGACAACATAGGTCAAGTGTACAAATGTTATGTCACATGAGTTATGTATACCTCTTATCTCAAAGTCTCTTATCTGTCTCTTCCTTGTTTACTCTCTTTCATCATACAATTCGTTATCTCTTTCCTACAGCTTGCCTGTTTATCACTATCTCTCCGTCATCTCACTAATTTGTCTCTCTTTGTTCCGGCACGCCATGTCTCTCAGCGGGCCATAACTTGGTAGGCCACTCCAAGGGCCTGTTGAAGAACCCAGTATCAAAGCCATTATTTATAAGCATATGTTTTACAATGCACATGGGCACGTGACATTAGATTGCTAAATGTCTATATGTTGCAGCTGAAGTGCATACTTGACTAAAGGAAGTTAATAACAGTGGCTGCAGCTGCTGGTGGTTCAGTCGCCAGCTTCCGGACAGTGAGAGGAGGAACCTTGTGGTGTTGCCGCTCCTGTAGGTGCAGCTGAACGTCGCCCACGTGCTCCTGGTAGAGCTCACTCAGCTGCTCCAGCTCCTCCGAGGTCATGCGCCACATCTGTAGCGCCTGCTCCTTCTCCTGCCGAGCGCAGCGGTGGTCATGGGGTAGGTGCGAGGGAGGGAAGTACATGTAAGCCAGTTGTATAACTGTATTAGCGTACTAGCGATGACGCAGTGGTTAGCGTGTTGCGCGATGAACCCAACAGACTGAGATAAATTCCGTGTTACGGCTAACATCAGTGGAAATTGATATCTAAACCAGTTCTGGCCACCTCCTGCAGAACACCTGCAGTAATCAGTGTGGTGAAGTATGGTCAAATATTCCCCATGACCTACACAGTGTGCAGAGGGTCTCATTCTTATTGAATTGCAACAATGAATTGAATCATGGACAGGATGAATCATAACAGGCCTACGAATGCCCTATGTGCCAAGTGGAAAGTGTGCCAATGCGCAGTGGCAATCAATACTCTTTGGTTCTTTCGATTAACTTTATTTTTTATTTTTACTTACGTGACTTTACCGAAAGAACCAAAGAGTATGGATCATTACAGCCACGAAACTTCAAATCTAGTGGCAATCAAGCAGGGACGATTGCGCACAGCATGGACTAACACACACAATATGCTCACAAACAAACACACAGCGACAAAGATTGTGTTTATCCACATAAAGTCGCTGTATTTGTATACAACAGGGTTTGTCCGAGAATGCGTCGTCATACATGCTGTTCTCACCTGATTGGCTAACTGGACCTGCTCCTGCAGGTTTTTGGCCATGCCCTCTTCTGTAAGGTCAGAGGTGAACACACCCAGACTTGTGGCCGCACCATCCAGCTGTGTTTCAACACTCTTCCTCAGCTCCGCATGCAGCCTATAGAGAAGATAAACAAGGAAGAGAATCATGCATGTACATGGATTTTGTATCGCTTTCTAAGATGCATTTGTCCTCGGAAGTATTTAATTAGCGAAAATAATGATCGCTCTCAGACCAGGCATGCAAGAAACAATACATCCGCAAGCTACGATGATACAACAGGCCCCAGAGGGTATGAATAGCCCTTTTGATCAATTTCCTGGTTTTCCATAGGATACATCAGTAATAGCAACACAACTTTATAGGAACCTTTTGTTCATAATGGTTCATCTTTACGACCGTTACCTTGCTTCCTCGTTACAGATGGATACAGACAGGCAGCTCTAATGAATTAACGATGTCAACCTTGGTTGGAAAGCATAAGGAAATTTTAATTAGGCCTCCTTAAACTTAGTGTCCAGAGTACCCATCTATTGTACATTATGCTATGATGGTCTCATACATCAAAACGAAAATACAGTTTGCACTCAAGAAGAAGGTGATTTACGTATGCCAAAAGTAACTTGGATGCATTAGGTTCGTGAAATGATTGGCTGAACAGTTACTGTTTAGGTGAATTAAAATCGCTGTCATATTTTTACATTTTATAAACAAGTTGTCCCACCTCTCGTTTTCCACCACCACTCTCTTCATCTTGAGCTTCATCTCGTCCATCAGGTTCTGTGGAGGAGAGGCACACATTTGACATGAGACCCTCTCTTATCGTACACAACAGCACTGGTGCGGGTCTCTAGTAAGAGCTGACCCACGGTTGCAGGCTTTAGAGGAGCTGCCCACAAAAGGCATTTCAAGGGTCCTCTCACATTAGTGACACCAAGACTATGTGGGGGCGATATGGCCACAAAAAGTGTTTTTGCTGCCGGCTCAAACATTCAAAATAAGCTACAAGGCGGTCATGCTTCACTGGGCTGGCAACAATAAATCTCAAAGAAAACAGCACAAAGTTATATAAAATACTAAATCAAAGCAGCCAAAATAGACTGGTTTTGGCAGGAGCCACTAGGTTTTATACCCGGTGTACTTAAAGCCATACATACATTTATTCGCACGCACGTCTTGATAACAGTACTGCAAAGAATTAACATTAAATATAAACAAAGATTAGCTGCATAATGTAATGTGAAGTGGGCTCAGCAACGAAGTGTGGTTACTTCACGAGCTTTTGAAATAGTGAGGATTTTATGAGACATGCTTTGACGATGTTACAGAACAATGAGCACATTCTCCAATCGATCTGCCATGAACACCTTCCGCTGCAAGCTAAATGCTATGGCGTATCTCAGCACCACTCCATTATTTTCTCCCTCCCCCCCCCAAAAAAAGTGCTAACTTTAAACCACAGAGTGCTCTGTGAGCCAACAAAATGCATTATACACTTGCACATTACACAGACAGACATCAGGGCAATATGCAGTAAATTACAGTACACAGCAGTCTCAGCAGCCAAGTAACTGTAAATAGGAGCAGCAGGTGAGGGCACAGCCAGGCACACCTATAAGTTGACAACATTGGAGCTGTCAATATTTTGTATTGAATCTTAGGTGGCCTGGTGACAGTTTCTAATGCCAAGTCAAAGCAATGAGCTGGTATTGCTGAGATGCACGATTCAAATCAAGGTTTCGAATCAAGGTTTAATCTATCCATGATTAAACCGGGTTCTCACGTGTAACAAGCTTATGGTCTTATCGTATATACAAACAGATAAAGAATATGGAACAAAATCTGAAAAGTGCACACTGAAGCTTGAAGAGATGCATCGACATCACACTGACTATCAAGAAAAATAAATGCTCTTCGGCAGGAAGCATGGCTAAAAAGGGATGATGGCCAATGATTGAGAATGAGGAAAGAGTGGCAGCTAAAGGAGGGAATGACTCCAAGAGGATAACTTCCATGAGATGCAGGGATGAGATAAACTCATATGTTGAAGCTGGATCGTTGCATTATAACACCATGAAAGAAAGGCAAAAACTTGGATAGGCCACCATTCAACAGTGGATAGATCATGGCTGATTTATTAGAAGGTATTCAATTTTTTTTTCAAAAATACACGGCTTAAGAATAAACTATTTATAAAGACGTTGCATGCTGTTTCTTGGTATAAAACAAATGTTGCCGTGTTAGAGGACAAGTGTTGTGCTGTGAGTTTGATGCAGGATCGGTTCATTGCCACACACCTGGTAGTTGCGGAGCTGCCCTTCCATTTCCTCCAAGTGCCGGTCGTATTCGGCTATGAGGGGTGCGAGCAGGCTGTCGTGAGAAGTGCAAATATTTTGGCTCAAACGGACGGTCAACAAACTGTGCATTGAATTGCCACACTGACCAAGCCTGGGAATTACTGTTTGCTTCTCCGCCTTCTGAAATATCCCATTAATGCTAAAACCGGCCGCGAATGTGTAAAAATGTGTAAATATGCTCACCTTTTGTCCGTCAGCCATGGGGCTGGTGGGTCCCCCTCACCAAAGACTCCTGCCTGGACAACCGTGTTGAAATTTGTGTTGATTTTTTTTCAGCTTTATCAACAAAGCAAGTGTATATTAGGTGCTGGTTCAGGTGCTGTAGGTTAAGTCCATAAATACATTCAAAAAGCGAAAAAATTACACTGCCCAGTCTGCAACTGGATGCACGGATAGTCAGTCAGGAGCAACTTCCAAGCAGGTATGATATTTCATGTTTTGACATTTGTTTTCTTAATGTAATTGCATACAGTAATAGTGAATCCAGCTGCTTATCAACAAATTAGCTCTCAGATTAAATTACAGGGTGTTTAAAAAAAATGGACCCAAATTCCAAGTAGTATATTTCACGATGGCAACATGTTAGAATTACACAAAAAGTTACAAACGGTTTAATGAGTTGTCAAGTTTTACTAACCATTTTATAAATGCTCTATGTGCCCTCCACCTGCTGTACGGACAACATCGAGATGATAGTTGAATTCGTCCCAAACGCCTCTCAAAGTGTCTTCTTCCACCGAAGTCACCGCTGCCGTGATTCTTTTTTTATGTCATCCAGATTAGTCGCTAATGGTGGCACAAAAACACGGTCGTTGACGAATCCCCACAAGAAAAAGTCGAAGGGTGTGATGTCTGGGGATCTTGGGGGCCAAGAGTGTAGCGTCAAGTCTTGGGGTCCATCCGACCTATCCAAGGTTGAGGCAGTGTTGTCTTGCGAATGACTGAGGCTAGGGGCTGTTTGTGCGCTGGGAGAGGCATCTAGCGGTAATCAATTAAAACTCTATGCCCCGCCCTTTCAAGTGGTAAGAGTTTCATTCATGGGCGGTTCGTGGTTGCAGAGATATAGCGATTTCAAATCGGGACCATGTTTTTCAAACACCCTGTATAATGGGTTAGTTACATCGTGTTTCGTGCTAGTATTTTAGATTAACACATACTAATTATGCACTGCCTGTGCAAACTATGTGTGAAATAAATTAAGCCTATAGACTGAGGAAAGTTTATTTATTCGCTCGAGTGAGCAGCCAGCATGGGGATACATGCAGCACGTACCGGTGTGGAGGCAGGTGGGACCAAGTACTTGACCTGGTACTGATTGAGAACTGCGTTGAGCCGTTGCACTGGACACGAGACCACCGCATCACATTTAGTTATTCGTATAATTCTGGGTCTGGCTCATGCAAGAGTCACACAGTCTCGTATTAGGCACTCAAAATAAATAACTATTACTGTTTAGTACGACATACAGTATAGGCATTCGTAGGAACGATTGCACCAGCTGTCCCTTGTGCAGATATGCAATCCTTCTCCATGGGTTTACCCTGGGTTGAATGATAATGCTGTAATGCAAATGCACTGTATATTGGGTGGCACAGCGGATAGTACACTGCACTGAACACAGAAACCTCGAGTTTGATTCCTCACGGGTAGCATCAGTGGCAAGTGATGTACGAGCTGGTCCTGAGCTTCCCCCCGTTACCAATCGGCAATAATAATCGTGGTGACATGGTCAATAGCTCTCATGACCGGCAGTGTGGTGGACAGGCTTTTATTAATCAGTGGATTAACAAATGGCTGTAATGTATTCATTCACTATACATTATATCTTTTACATACAATTGCATGTGTAGTATTTAGTACACTCAATCGTTTGTATTAAGGCATTTGCAATGTGTTAACGGGTATTGTTTCTTTTTTTCAGTTTTAATTATAATTTTCGCTTGTGTAAACAACACGCAGCCTCAATGGGTTCTCACATTGGCTCAATCAAGAATTTGATGAACACCAGACCACACCTTACAAAACACACGTATACGATACAGTGACGTTACAATGCAATGCTATGTACCACATTAAATTGCTAACGATCGGTCTGTGACAAAACTACACGGAAAGCCCCCGGGACTTTGTCAGATTTCCGGAAACTCGCCAGGTTCCAGCCTGAGCAGTGCTTTGCATCGGTGATTACTGAAGCATCACGGCAGCAGTGGACTGACAAAAGGGCTGCGCGCATGCCACGTGATGTAGGTGCGATATTACCTACTATAATCACCCAGAAATGTCTATCCGTCTCGCGCATGACGTTGGTCCACATGAGGCCCACCCCCCCTTCATTAATATTCATGAGTGGGTGGATTTTTGCACGAACGCAGATGGAGCCGAATTAAACAATTTATTACGCAAATCCACTTCAAATATTACGTTTCTTTACAGAAATAAAGTTTTCAGGTCCAATAGGGCAACATTTTTTGGTCTATTTGTTTGTGTTTCTACCTTGTGATGGGACTTTGTAGGATGAACGTTGATATTTATAAGGGCAAGGGGTGACCAACAAGGTCTGAATTGGTCTGTAATAAGGTTGGGCACTGATAAGGGTTTGACAGGTATGGTGTAACAACCCATAACGCGCGACGTCTGCTTCACAGCGGGACGTTAAAGACCCCCCCCCCGCCCTGACGCCACTGCTTGCCCAGCCGGCGTCAGTCAACATTTGCCAAAATTCGAAAATGAAATCGCATTCACATCACTTTCGTTCATATTGCAATTGAAAAGCAACTGCCCAAACATAACCGTGTGCCCGAGTCTGGTAATCCATTCTATGGCATCAGAAGTTGCATGATTATTGTAAAGTATATAGTGTCCATACCTCCTATGTCGTCCTATAATGGGTAGTGGTCGGTTATGTAAGAATCAGAATATTTATTTATACTGGGGGAATCCGATGAGCAATGAAACTATTTTTCGCAGATGTAAAGTAGAGGCGGGTAAGAACGTTACAAAAACACGATAGAAGTGCAAGAAAGGTAAACAAATCACTCAAACAGATACAAATAAAAAACTAAACCATCTCCATCCTACCCAGGCAAAGCCCACTGTGACATCAACTCAATTGGGATTGCACATAGCAACAATCATCGCCCCCCCCCCCCCCCCCCCCAAAATCACTGCAGCACATTCAACGAATTAACTTAACTGAATAAACTCTGGGCCAAGTGAATAAACTCTATAATTGTTATTATAATAATAATGATGCAGGTTGGATGGAAATCGCGCGACGCCGCTTGCGTCGCCATGGCAACACGGCTCCTCACCCTGCTGCCTCAGAAACACCGCCTCAGCGCTCATCGCTCACCGCTCACGATCCGTGGATTCACTGCCAAACGGCAAATCATATCAACAACAAATCACGAGCAATCGACGGTTTACGTGGACGTCCACAATCGTTACAAAGAGGGTGTTAACTTCACGTGCAAACCGCGATTACCGGTGGGTGCGGCCTGGTGTCAATTTACGCACTCCCGTCTCGACTATCGACGCTAAAGAAAAAAACACCGAACAGAGTAACAATTACGGCGAGGGATCCCGACGGCTGGAAAGTATTTATTTAAAAAAAGAAAACCATTTACGCTTAACAACAAAAAAAATACCGGTAGCAAACACCGGCACCCCCCTCACGTAAACGTCCCCCTCACGTGTAAAACCATTTACGCTTAACAAGTAAAAATAGCGATAGCAACAACCGGCGGCCCCCTCTCACGTAAAACGTCTCTCCCGCTTCAATTCACCGCCCCAGTAGCCCCGCCCTCGCGAGCTCGCGGAACCAATCGGAGCGCGGCGCGCCGTGCTCAAGCGGGCACGCGGCGACCAATCGGGCGGCCGTGATTTGAGTGACGCGCGGGCGCCGACGAGGGGGTGGGGGGGGGTTTCGACTTCCGCGTGCCGCCCTACCGCCACGTGGGCGGAGCGGTCACCGCTGCCACCGCCCACGTGGGCGGAGCGGTCACCGCTGCCACCGCCACGTGGGCGGAGCGGTCACCGCTGCCACCGCCCACGTGGGCGGAGCGGCCACCGCTGCCACCGCCACGTGGGCGGAGCGGCCACCGCTGCCACCGCCACGTGGGCGGAGCGGTCACCGGTGCCACCGCGCGTATAAAAATACAGGGGGGTGGGGGGGGTAGAGGCTGGAGCGAGGGAACGCGAGGAAGTTAATTGTTGGACGATTTCCAACGGAAGCAGCAAAGTATAGGACGACGACAGATCGCACGCCAAGCTGTCGAGACAACGCGGCGAGGTAATTGGCCTTTTTTTTAAAGCGTGCTCTATTGAAGCGTCTCGAGGCAAGGCGACTGCAGTATTACTGTTATTGTTTCGATTTATATTTTGAGGGGTCCATCAATTTGTGTGCGTGACCGGTGACATTGTTCAGAAGCGTCATGAGCAAAGGAAGGCGCTGAAATGTGCGCGAAGAAGCATGGATGTGTGCTTTGAATTAAACTGAGACGGGAAGAGAAACGCATGGATTGAAGTGCATATACATCATGGGCAGGACACGGAAGTAGAAGATTGATAGCCGGGGGTCGTGATTTACGACGGAGTGGCAGCCAAAGGAGAGAACACGCACTATAGGGTTCGTCAATCGAGGAGATGGCTCGCTGTATTGTTATGTCGTAGGGAAATGCCTACGGCTTGAGGCGTTCATCCAGCAGTAGAGGTCTCGTGCACTACTAACATTAGAGGCGCCATGTTAGCGTGATGTCAATTACCTCGCCTGGTATGTAGGAGAGCTTGGGTTCGATCCCCACCCTGTTTTTTTTCCCTTGTTAACACATTTAGAATTCGAATCACGCGTTTAGAGTATTTGGCTGCTATAAATGTTCACATGGCACACCACTTGGTCGAGCTATCATTTGTGGCCAGGTCGCATCTGAAAAATAACTAGATAGTTAACTTGGCCTTACCTGGTAATATAAGAAAAAAATGCCCCAGTAGTTTTATAGTAATCCCCGCGTATTGTCATTTATCCCGGCTTCTCCGGGATAATGAGTTTTAAGAGTATTAAATCCAAACAAGCGCTACGAGGAGGCGTGTGCGTGGGGGGGGTTATTCGTCTGTGCAGATCTGTGCGACAAATGACATTGCTCTGTGTACGGTCGTTCTTTGAAACGACTAGCGCAGCACTGGCGTTGGCAGTACGCCCACACACACACGCGCATCGTGTCCATGTCAACACTTCTTAATGGGTACTGCAGAGTCTACCTCGCCGTGTTGTGTATTTAAATCCTTAACGGGGAACTTTTACATCGCTCTTCCGCAACTCTGTCTACTTAAACGGGTAACGTCTGCATCGTAATGTGGTGTTAATGTATAGGAATAGGTTTTACCCTTTTAACTGGCACAAAAGCTGACACCTTTATTCAAGGCATCATGTTTGCAATAACCACAACACAAGCAGTCAAAATGCAAACAAAAAAGACAACTCTGATAATTTTGTGCCAGTTAAAAGGGTAAAACCTATTCCTATATCTTGTTACTGGCAAAGGAGGTCTCATAATGTGGTGTTAATGTGTTTACATTAGCGGCGATTTTAAGGACCACGCGTTTGCGATCTTTGGCGGGGTGGGGGGGGTCTTTAATGCGGTTGATCGCTCCCATTTCAACCCGCCGCTAGATTAGTCCCTCCCCACGCCGAGGGGTTACTTGACCATACTTCACCGCCCTGGTTTAATGCGGGTTTGTTGAAGGTTGGGCTTCGAGCCAGACAATTAGTTAGTTGGCTGTGTGCACTGTGAAGAGGGCTTGGTTTTGGTTTAAAGTATATGCCCGGTGCTGGAAATAACAAACAAAGAAGGCCCACCGAATGTACGATACGCGCGGCTCGTTTGACCGCCTAGACCGAGAGCCAGCTGATGAATGTTGTCCCTGCTAACAAACACCGGGCTCTCGATTGCGGTTGTAGTTGAAACCAGGCTGGAGTTGCAAACGGATAATTTACTCTGAACGAGCCGAGTCATTTGTCAAATGCCACTGCGTCGTGCTATATATATAGGGTGAACAAGAATTCCGTCTCCAGTACATCGTTTGGCCTAAAGAGCGGACTGCTCTTTAGCCCCAAAAGATTAAATCGGTATAGATCAGAACAGTTTGCTACGTGCGGTGCGAAAGAAGTTCAACACACAAGTGCATACAAAGTCTTCTTGTCCGTGATTTAAGAAGCGGTGGTTGGGCAATGTTGATGCATTTAAGACTGTCGCTGCTGTTGTTTTAGAGAACGGACCCCTGTTCGCTGACCTCTGGCGAGATGAGCACTTGTAATGTAGACATGAAGGAGGAAGACCTCGCCCTGCTCAAGGCAACCCGACGGATCCCAAACAGCGACTGGATGGCGGGGCTGCCTGAAGCCCTCTGGGATATCCCCCTGTGCCACCTCGCCATCCCAGGTAAACGAATCGTTGACCACGGCAATGATGGCGAGGTTAAAGGTTGCAGCTGCCCTGCAATTGTGCTTGCTCTCACACTATCCTGCTTGAGGAAGGTGCCTCCACACGACGGAGGATATTTTGGTCTACTCTTCCACACTGGCCAGACTTCTTGGAAGAGGTGGGTGTATCCACCACGTGTAACATCATACCCATTGTGGTGGACAGTATCCGTGATACTATTTTTTTATTTTGAACATTTTTACAGGTAGGAGATTTTTTTTTAAATCAAGCCTTACCATTGTTTCAATTGCCATGCCAGGAGGTTGACCCACAGAACTGAATTGGAAGTCCCTTTTGCTAGCTATTACGTGATAGTAGCTTCCCATTTGAGGAAGATGCAGTACGAAAAGCGAACAGCTATTGTAGATACACATCTAGGTTGACGTGTATTCCTTTTCTGTCCGAAATTAGTTTGAAGCTTCATTGTTACTAAAATAGACTAGTTATGGCCAAGTGTGTCATTCTGAAACTCATTCAGAAATTAATTATCCTATTCGGGAATTACCTGCTGTTTCAGCCAGTATAGATGAAGCCAATGGGCTGCACGTAATTGTTTGAACAAAGCACAAACAGGTGCGGCTGTTTCATTCACAAATGAAAAATTAGTGTGGTAAAGTGCAATCTGTTCTACTGGACATCTGAGAGAGCTTTATAGTTGATTAGATTCCTCCAGTATAAAATATATTCTGAATCTTACATAACTGACCACTACACATAGGATTACACACGAGGTATGGACGCTATACTTTACATCATGCAACTTCTCATGTCATAAAATGGATTACCAGACTCGGGCACACAGTTGATTTTCATTTGCCATACGAACGAAAGTGAGGTGAATGCGATTTCACTAAAATACTTTTAATGCAATGCCGTTTGTCACGAGAGCACTGTCACTTAATGTCTCGGATTTTTTTTTACTTTTCACTAATTAATAAAAAATAACTTGTCGGATAGCCCTGGACACACAGCATAGGTATGTATCTGCAATGAGGGTTATTGTGTTTGTAACGCTGTCTCTTTAAACTAATTTAGATCCATTATCGGATGCATGACTCGACTTACATACAGCTCCTAAATGTGTCCTTTCCATTGGCCAATAATAAATGTCTTTGGTATAATAAAAAAAATCACAACCATGATTTCCATGTGTTGGTCAGTTATTGTGTTTGTCAATGGTTTATAACTTACATCAGATTTTAAGATTTTTTTAAGATTCTTAAGAGTCGGTAACCAAGGCTTTGACTTTCAAAGTGCGGTAGTATGCCTGTCAATGCTGATTCAGGAAATGTTTAGAATGGAGGTTCACTTCAAGCCTTATTTAATAAAGGTTGTTATGTCAAGTCAGTTGGGGATTGAAGACACTGCGTGGAGGGTAACAGCCCTGTTGCTGAAGCACTCGGACCTCCCAATCTACTCCTGGACTTCATCCCAAAAGTGTGGCTACGTCTGTCGGCAGGCAGCCACGACACCATGACCTTCGACCTGGATGCAACATCGTCGCTCGAGCCATCTCAGCCACAGATCCTGCACACGTTGTTGCAGGTGGTTCCCTGCATCACGCGCCCCATCATCTACAGCTACAGCCACACGCAAGTGAGTGCTCGCCGCCTGCCCATGCAAACCGGCTTAGCCAGCCACTCGTGGTCCAATCAACATAATTTTCAATGTATATCGTATAGAAATGCAATTGCTTCTCAAGGCACTTTACAAATGTAAAAAACTACTATGTCAACAGAGAAAGGATGTGGGCGGGGGGGGGTCGAGGGAGGTAAACGCGGGAGAGGCGAGATGGAGCAATTCCGTGGTACAGCCTGTCACAAAGCAACTGGGGATCCGTACAAGCAACAATGAGCCCCCTTGGACAATAAATGCAGCACTAACCAGTCCCAGTGACAACCAGGGCAGCCAGATATCTCAACATCCACATGGGGTGAGGGCCCTTAAAAAAGGACCTCCCAAGATGTTTTTTGGGGGAGGCCGGGTTCCATTCACCAACGAGTCCCAGGTAGTTGCTGAGTTTGAAGCCTCTCTCTGTGCCAACGGCCTCGATTTGAGTCCTGGCGCAATTTCTTAAAGTACGCAGATTCCATCTCCCATTCGTCACCCTCTATAAGTCCAATTACTTGTCTTGGCTGACATTCCATTAACAAAATAATAATAAAGAAAGGCTTCCCATTCAAACAAGTGTGAGGAGCCAATCTTCCCCTTTTTACGACCCTGATATATTTTAGAAATTCCACATGTACTTACTGGTCATCATTCATTTGAGTGGTGTGCACTTGTAAAAGCTTGCTTGAAATGAACTTTACCAGTGTAATAAATATGTGGATATGCCATCTTATTTCAACAACTCTTACGTCCTTTGTCTTGTTAGGGTGCATTAGTTTAGCTGTCTGAAACAAAAGGCATTTCCAAAGTGCTCAAAAGTCTTGAATACCAACATGCACTTCAGTAATTGCCCATGAAAACGATGTAGAACGTTTCTAATTTAGCCATTTAATTTTGTGGCGTTGCATTGGCATCGCTCGATAGAAGCTGCTTACGGACACACGATGATGTGGAAGAAGGCGGTCTTCACCTGAACCGCCAAGGATGGTGCCGGTTCACAGGACCGTGCGGGGATCTGGGACTTGAACCCTGACTGTTTATCACCCTTGCGCAGGACTTCGGTGTGAGCGGACAGCTCGACATTGGGGTGCGCTACTTCGACTTGCGAATCGCGCATTACGAGAAGGACCCCGCGGAGATTCTGCGCTACACTCACGGGTTCTACACCACGCTCACCGTGCAGGTGCGGAAGGAATTCGGTTGCTGTGTGTGCAAATGAGATGGAGCTGCTGGTTGCAGGGGACTACACCTGTAGTCCCCTAGCCTTGGAGTCAGTTTTGTTGGTTCATGCCAACATAGACGTGTGTGTGTGTGACTTATGGGGAGCAGTAGTCCAATTGTTTGCACACTGAGATACTTTTCAAAAATTCAGTCACAGGTAACACCAGTGGTGATTATCTGAATTGGTCCCTTGACTCCGTGAGGTTGACTGCCTAAATGAATAATGTGCATGTGGCAGTGTGTAAACATCAGCACTGGGGGGGACAAAGGTGTCCATGTGTGGTGTTGGCCATACCAACTACCTCGTGCGATAGGTGCTCACAAACAGCACTTGCCATAATCATCCATATATAAAGGTTTTTGTATGTGATTCCCAGCCTATCAAGGTGGGAGATGCCCAATAGGTGATAGGATAGGAAGTAGGTTGTTAGTTAAATGTGTGTAGTAAATTTTCGAGTTCTGTCCTTGTATATGCCTTTGCTTGAACATTCAAACCTTGGAGTAAAGACTTGTCCACATATCACAACATGGGACTTAGCTGCAAGTCTTGAGACTCGATGAAGCGTTCTTCAATCAGTGAAGAACCCCCCCCCCCCCTCTTCCAACCCGGTACCACCTCTTGCCCTCCCAGGACAGTCTGAGTGAGATACGCGAATGGCTCAACGCTCACCCACGCGAAGTGCTGCTCCTTGACTGCGCTGCATTCTACGACGTCAACAGCAAGATGCACGAGATGCTCATCGCTGCCTTGAAGGCCACCTTCGGCTCCAAGCTGTGCCCACGGCAAGAGCAGGTGTTGAGGCACAGGCCATCCCCGAGTAATCACCGCTGGCTAGACGACATATATATTCTAAACTATCCCTATAACCGCCAGTGTGGGGAAGCCTCGCCTAGCAGCGGGTTGACAGAGCTTTTATTATTTTCGATAATTCTCGGTGCACGCCATTGGAAGTGCGGTATAAATAAAGGATGATCACACTTGTATTGACGGCATACGTCTGAGTTCCCATTTTAAAAAAAAGTTGAATGTCAACCCTATCACCATTCCCCCTAATTGGACCAGCAGGTGACGCTTCGCTGGATGTGGAACGCCGGATACCAGGTGATAGTTTTCTATGACAACCGGGACAGCGTGTCTCTGCATGAGCAACTGTGGCACAACATCCCGTACCTATGGGGAGACACGACGGACATCAAGAAACTACTGGAATACCTCAACCGGGAGCTGCAGTTGGGACGGAGGGGTGAGCCACACACAGGGGAGAGGGGGGGGGTCCAGGCGACTATATGGACAGTACAGAACTGCGTGGGGCAGAGCAATCCGAAAATAACTTACAGGAGCACGCTGCCACCACCAGCACACTCGGTTCTCAATAAAAGCCCGAACGTCGCTATCAATCGCTACACGAATATTAAAATATGCTGCAATACACATTGATGTCGGTTAGGTGGCGCTGTGGGAGCGCGGCAAATGTATAGTCACTGGTCACGAGTTCAAATCCTGATTGGGGACGACTTGGCCCATCATCATGTGTTTCAGGTCAATAACATAATTTACCTCTTTGTAAAAGGTGATGGTGGTTATCACACAGGCTAATTCCTATCGTGGAAATGTAATTATCCTGACTTAACTCTGGATCGTCATTTGATATTCGCTCTGCCTAATGCTTGTTTGAGCACGGGTACACGCTTTTTACATTTTTTGACTGCATCCGTGTGGATTATTTGTGGCAGATGGATTTTTTGTGGCGGGCATGAACCTGACGCCAGACTCGCGGTACATCATTGAGAACCTGCGCGGCTCCATCCGTCAGATGACCAAGGGCGCGCTTCCTGTTGTCATGGAGTGGCTCGTGCAGCAGACTCCGGGTGCCGCCTCCGCTTGTGTAAACGTGATTGGCACGGACTTTACGGTGCCCGGCGTCGTGTCCACCATCATTTCCCTCAATTGGAAACTCTTGCAGCGTGTTCCCGACGCCACAAAGGTTTTACGGTAGTTCATCAGCGACAGTCGGAATCTCGATTTGTAGCGGTACGAAAATGTGTTCTCGTGCACCCGTTCAGCTGTGAATCCATTCTCAGCAAGTTATATAGAGTGCTATATTAGAGCTGATTGGAAATTTGATTGGTTAAGGGAATATGTGATGTATCAAGGTTATTTCACATTTAATGATTGCGAATGTGAACTCTTTTGTGAAATTATTCCCAGTGGTTGGAACATCTGATTACTGTATAGTACCAATAGTGTGATACCACTTTTTTTTATTATGGAAAGATTGCACTGCAATATTTCTGATGACCATTAACAAATGAATGTGTGACACTGCCTACTCTACCGTTGGCGCAGCGGTTAGCATGCTCCGCTACAGACTCAGCGACCCCAGTTCGATTCCTGCTATTGGCCAACACCATTGATTATTATCTGAACTGGTCCCGGGCCTCCCCTAGGTCGATTCAGCCTCAAATTAGTACCCAGTGTAGTGTGTAAACATCGCCCTTGGGGAGACAAAGACGGTTGGATATGGTGCTGGCCACCCATCCCTCGTGTGCTGTTCCGGCCTTCATAAATGCTCGCTAACAGCACTTGCCCCAACAGTATGTTAAGGTTATAAGAGGAATCTTTGTCTTTTAGTTTTTTTCTCAAGTCTTGTATTTGCCGTATTTGAATTAACACAAAGCAATACATAACAGCAATATTTGTGAGATTGTTACAGGCTGCTGGGGAATTGGGAAACTAATTAGTGTCTTATGATACCCGGACTAAGCAAAAATGATCTGTTCTCAAGTTTTCTTTAGAACCAACTGATGTAACAGGCCAAAGACATTTTGCCGTTGCGTGAAATCTGAAAAGTTACTTTACCATTGGTGCGAGACTGAGATTAGCCATTAGAAAAATTTGCATAACAGGGTGGATTGTAAACTTCTGAACTATGGATGGCAATTTTTTTGGTTGTGGCTTTAAATTTGAAGTGAATCGTGGCATTCATCAAACAATGAGATAATTGTCCTTGGAAATGACAATCTCCGGCGTACAAGTGGTTAGATAATTGAGACTACACCAGGCTGCATTTTCAGCATGTCAACTGTGTGGATATTTTCCCCTGTAGTTAACGACCTACTTCAGCCAGTTTGGCTGTGTGTGCTGAACAAGCTCACCCTGAAGCCAAAAAGGCATAATTGAATGATATATTTTTTTATTTTCCCGGGAGTAGCAGTGAATTTCCATGCAATGCATGCAAGTCATTTGTATTCTGAGCACGCATGTGCAGGGACGCATTTTTGTGTTAATCACTCGGGGACATTATGGATTGGAAGTGTTTAAATGTAAGATTTAAGTTTCTTTCAAACAGTGGTGGGCTTTTGTACCGTTATGATTTTCTGAAAAATGATTATCGATGAAAAATAAAAAAGCACTGATGGCACGCATTTTTTCTGTCTGAGCACAACATGAATACAGCCTGCTCTTTGCATTGTAGGGGACGAGATGAAACATGAACAGACATTAAGGGCAAAATGCTCTTCTTCCTGCGACAAACCATACTGCAACTGATGACATACAGATCGTCCGCAAATATAAAATTGCTATCCATTGTCTAAATCATGTAGATAAGATAATGTTTGAAATAATTTATTTAAACCTAATCGGCCACCGATAGTTTATAATTTAGTGTGACTTTGAAGATCAATAAAAAAAACAATCAACTTTGAAAAAACCTGAAGGCATAACCTTTGCATTGCACAGCTATACATTCACATCCTTACGCTGGTGACTTTTGCATTTGAGACTTTCCTAGTCCCGTTAGTGCTCATCTGGTTAAGCAAAATTAATTTGAACTGGAGAAAACTGCCTATCATAATTACTGGTACATACTACTTGACTATCTTATAATTTCACAGCATATGGTGACAGCTGAAATGCATTACAAAGCATTGAACAATTGAGTATAATTTTCACCAGTGATTATCCAAATTGAAATGTATTTTTTATGTACACTAACCGAGAGGCATGATGTATGTAAGATTTGTCTGCATGTTCAAGTCTGCTAATACTGCACATTCCTGGGCAGGCATGACAATTAATTTGTAACAAAAGACAACGCACAAGGTGAGTGTCAGTTGGTTGGCACAACTTAGCAACTGAAGAAAATTAATTTACACATACCATTATAATTGTATTATATCATTTAGGAATTGTATTGACGAACCTGAACAAATCGGAATAAAGAAGATTCCTATGTAATGGTGTCTCCATTACTTCATCAAAAACATTCATCCATAAAATGGCCATCGGGTCAAATTTGACTTGCGAACAAGGCTCTCCATTGAGAAAGTGAAACGAGTCGCTCTCTGATTGGTGGCTGTGAAACATGTATTGGATTATATGGACAGGAAAAATTGAAGCACTGCTAGGTATGCTTAATGCACAATTTGTTCAGTGCAGTCGTCACCTTGGCTTACCACAGCCCGTAATTTTTTTGATCGTTGGATTACACAGTACATTGCCTTTGCTGCTCAAAAGCTACCACAAACTGAAATGAATAGTGAAATATTGAATGAACAAGCTCATGTTTGTGTTGGTAAGACCATATCTTGGAAGGCGGTTGTATTGGAAGATACTGCCATTGAGTTGGCTCCAGTTCAGAACGTCAAGCACAGGACATTCTGATAGGCACTTTCCAATCCAAATTCAACTGCAGACCAGACTTGAAAAGGCACTCAAACGCCTTTATGGGCAAGGCTACATTAACAGTTTGGGTAATAAGAAGAATGACCACTCAGTCAATCTTTTTCAATCATGCATGTAATGCACCCACAAGTGTAAAAGCTCAAGGAATACAAATTGTCCTTAAAAAAACTGGTTCTCTGCAGTTTATTGGCTGCACTGTGCCAAAACCTTCAATCATGACAAAACAGTTTACAGTAGAACCCAGTCACTTCATATAAACTGCTTCTTTCATATAAAATAATTGAACCACACTGGTTTGATTTTCCATTCATATTAAATCTGCCTGGTCGTTGTACGTTTATAATATTCCAAATGCATATTGTACGACCCTTGCTGTGGCACTCTTTTATGCGGTGGTTGCAAGCAGCTTAAAAAGAATAACCTTGAGTGAAGCTACCACCTACCTGCTGCTCCCTGCATCTGCCCGAGCTGCTGCTCCCTGGAACTGCCTGAGCTGCTGCTCCCTGGGTCTACCAAAGCTACTGCTCCACGGGTCTGTGCTGCTGTTTTTTGCAGCTGCCTGAGCTGCTCCATTGGTCTACCAGAGCTGCTGCTCCCTGGGTCTACTTGAGCTGGTGCTCTCTGGGCCTGCCTGAGCAGCTGCTCCCTGGGCCTGCCTGAGCTGCTACTTCCTGGGTCTGCCTGAGCTGCTGCTCCCTGGGCCTGCCTGAGCTGCTGCTCTTTGGGCCTGCTTGAGCTGCTGCTCCCTGGGCCTGCCTGAGCTGCTGCTCTTTGGGCCTGCTTGAGCTGCTGCTCCCTGGGCCTGCCTGAGCTGCTACTCCCTGGGCCTGCCTGAGCTGCTACTTCCTGGGCCTGCCTGAGCTACTGCTCCCTGGGCCTGCCTGAGCTGCTGCTCTTTGGGCCTGCTTGAGCTGCTGCTCCCTGGGCCTGCCTGAGCTGCTGCTCCCTGGGCCTGCCTGAGCTGCTGCTCTTTGGGCCTGCTTGAGCTACTGCTCCCTGGGCCTGCCTGAGCTGCTACTCCCTGGGCCTTCCTGAGCTACTGCTCCCTGGGCCTGCCTGAGCTGCTGCTCCCTGGGCCTGCCTAAGCTACTGCTCCCTGGGCCTGCCTGAGCTGCTACTCCCTGGGCCTGCCTGAACTGCTGCTCCTTGGGTCTGCCTCAATCTGCTGCTGCCTGGTTTGCTCAGAAACGCTCTCCGTTATCAAGGAGCCGAAGCTTCTGCAGGAAGCCCTCGACTGTCTTAACCCGCTCCTTGAGGTTTTTACCCTTCACCTGCTTGATCAGGTTATTGCCCTGTTCGCGAAGATGCTCCTTGAAAAAAAAAAAGAGTGACGTGTTAGGTCACATGCACGCTAGCGTAGAGAAATAGAAACGCACCAAGGTTTGCTTACAAACAGCAAGAACTTGAACGGCTAGTCAACTTCGTGACCTGGAGCTGACCGCCACCACAAACTCAAGCACACGGGCGAGAAGCCGTACATGTGTGACGAGTGCGGCAAGACATTACTCGCGCTCGGCCTACCTGAACATTTTTCACTTGTGTGTTTAACTGTTGTGGATCTTTGTTATCTTAAAGATGGCAATTATCCTGCTGCGTATCATACTACTGTTGTTCCCGGTCATATCCAGTGCAACACTCAACTCTACAAACGGCTACCCTCGTTACTTTGCGTCCATACTTGTTGCTCGATTTGCCACTACACCTGCAAATGAAACAGCTCATAGACACTTCTACACTCCATCATTGTATACTTTTAAACCCTATTTTTGTCCCATTACTTCACCAGCACTCCTTCCAAACTTCATTCTGCTCTTAAAAATAACACCATCTGCGAGCTGCTGCTATTCGTCCAAGGTTCACCGCTCTTCATCCTTTCACAGAAAATACTTGTGCAAACTATTAATTCTACTTTTCTTATTTCTGGGTGGTATTGAGCTTCATCCTGGCCCAAATATAAAGAACTCATATAATTCTGTAGATTTTTCTGGCAGGAAAGGTGTTGGTGTTCTACATGTCAACATCAGAGGGCTTGTGATTAAATTGTCAACTAAAACTAGAAGTGGCAAATCTTGACCCGGACATTTTTTGCCTAACAGAAACATTTCTCACTCCTGCCGTCAATGACTTGCAGATTACGATTGACAACTACAACCTTTTTCGGCTTGACTGAGGATCTAAAGGAGGTGGAATTGCCATCTATGTTCGTAATACTATTGCATGTTCACCAGCTCACTCCTTGTTTAAAAAATGTTGCTTTGAAGGTTTGGCTCTCAGAATAACTCTTCCAAAAAATCAACAGATATTGGTAGTGTGCTGCTATAGACCGCCTAGTGGGAAGGATGTTGAAGCTGCATCTGCACTGAGAGAGCTTTTTGGGGGCCTCCCTAAAGGTAAAATAGTTTTAGTGGGTGATGTAAATTGGAATTGGCTAAACTCGCCGGCCGTGGCCACAAATTTTACAGATGAATTTAACCTGTTTCAATTACTAAATGCCCCCACAAGACCCAACCTAAAAAATCCGGGACAGTCATCTCTGCTTGACGTCCTATTGACAAATGCCCCTCACAATTTCATACTGACTGGTGTTCTGGGTAATAACCTTAGTGATCACACCTTCATTTTTGGTGTGAGATCATCAGCCAGACCCAAAGCCCCCCCCCCCTAAATTGGTTGAGAAGCACTCTGAGACACTTCAGCACTCAGGCATTTACTAATGATGTGCTTCACTCGGATATTGACAAGGTCTGTGATATCCCCAACCTGACTACGGCTTGGGAGACCTTCAGGTACACGTTTCTCCAAATTCTTGACAAACATGCTCCATTGGTTAGATTTAAAACTAAAGGCAACCGCCCACCATGGTTTGATCCTTTGATTACAAAGCTCATGAAAGCTAGGGACAAGGCTTGGGCATGTGCTCAGAAAAGTAATTTGGTAAATGACTAGCTAGAATACAGGATTTTAAGGAATAGATGTGTCAAAAAAATACGACATGCAAAAAATGCCTACTTTTCCTCCACTCTCCTGGAATCACATGGAAATGCCAGGATTTTCTGAAAAACAATCAAATGTATCGAAAAGGCATCCAAAACAGACAATCTGCCCGTTGAGCTTAACCTAAATGGGGAATATTTTTCAGATCCCAAAAAAATAGTTGACAATTTTAACTTCATTTTTCTGAAGCTGGTAATCTTTTTGATAATGTATTGGGAGTCACCCCTGCTCATGCAAATTCAAACATTAAACGAAATTAGTTTCCAGCCAATCCACGAAAGTAATGTTCTGAAACAACTGTCCTACCTCAAAGGGTCCTCCTCTACCGGAGCAGATAGTATTCCTGTCTTTGCTCTACTAACTGTTGGTCACCTAATATACAAACCTATAGCCCATATTTTCAACCTGTCCATCAAAGAAGCATCAGTTCCTCTCGAATGGAAACATTCCTGTCCATCCACTTCACAAAGGGGGCCCTAAAGATGATCCAAATAACTACCGACCTATCTCAATTTTGTCCCCGTTGATGAAAATTTTTGAAAAATTATTGACCTACCAAATGAGCAGTTTCCTGTCCACCAACAATCTATATCTAAAACAATCTGGCTTCCGAAAAAAATACAGCACCACATCTGCTGCATTAGACTCTCTGAATCACATTTACAGTAGCCTTGATAATAAGCAGTACTGTGTCTGTCTTTTTCTAGACCTGTCCAAAGCTTTTGATACAGTAGACGACAACACC